TGAAGGAATCAAATAAATCGGTTCCGAAGCTGACATCAAAACGATTTCGATGCCGGAGTTGAAATCTTGGGGGTATCGAATGAATAGTTTCCGAGGCCAGAATCGGAATCGTGGCGGAATCGATTTCAAGGCAGGAATCGGAATCGTGGACGAATCGAAGGAATCAGTTCCCAGGCAGGAATCGAAATCGTGATCGGATTGAAGGAATCGATTCTGAGGCCAGAGTCTGAATCGTCAACGGATGGAAGAAATAGATTCCGAGGCAAGGGTTGGAATCGCGAAGAAATCGATTCGAAGGTGGAAATCGAAACGTTGATCGGATCGAAGGAATCAATTTGTAGGCCGGAGTCGGAATCGTGAAGGAGTCGATTCCGACGCCAGAATCGGAACTGGTAGCGAATCTAAGGAATCGATTCAGACGCTGGAATCGGAATCGTGAACGATCCGTAGGGATCAATTCGAGGCCAGGATCAGAATCTTGAAAGGATCGATTCCAAGGTAGAAATCGGTATCATGAACGATTCGAAATAATTGATTTTGAGGCCGAAATCTGAATCGTGAACAAGTGGGAGTAATCAATTTCTAGGCGGGGGTCGGAATCGTGGAGAAATCGAACCCGGGATAGGAATCGGAATCGTGATCGGATTGAAGGAATCGATTCCGAGGCCAGAATCTGAATCGTCAACGGATGGACGGAATAGATTCCGAGGCAAGGGTTGGAATCGCGAAGAAATCGACTCGAAGGTAGAAATGGGAATGTTGAACGGATCGAAGAAATCAGTTTGTGGACCGAAGTCGGAATCGTGAAGAAATCGATTCCGAGGGAAGAATCGGTAGCGAATCTAAGGAATCGATTCCGATGCTGGTATCGGAATCGTGAACCATCCGAGGGATCAATTCGAGGCCACAATCATGATCTTGAATGCACGATTCGAAGGCATTGATTTTGAGGCCGGAATCTGAATCGTGCACCAGTAGAAGGAATCAGTTCCTAGGCCGGAGTCGGAATCGTGAAGGAATCGATTCCGAGGTAGGAATCGGAATTGTGTGAACGAATCAAAGGATCGATTCGAGGCTAGAATTGGGGTTGTGAAAGGATCGATTCCAAGGTAGGAATTGGTATCATGAACGATTTGATGGAATTGATTCCGAGACTGGAATCTGAATCGTAAACGATTGAAAGGAATCAATCCCTAGGTGGAATCGTGAAGGAATCGATTCCGAGGTAGGAATCGGAATTGTGAACGAATCAAAGCATCGTTTCGAGGCTAGAATCGGGGTCGTGTAAGGATCGATTCCAAGGTAGGAATTGGTATCATGAACGATTCGAAGGAATTGATTCCGAGGTCAGAATCTGAATCGTAAACGACTGAAAGGAATCAATCCCTAGGTGGAGTCGGAATCGTGAAGGAATCGATTCCGGGATAGGAATCGGAATTGTGAACGAAACAAAGGATCGATTCGAGGCTAGAATCGGGGTCGTGAAATGATCGATTCCAAGGTAGGAATATGTATTATGAACGATTCGAAGGGACTGGTTTCGAGGGCCAAATCTGAATCGTGAACCAGTGAAAGGAATCAGTTCCCAGGCAGGAATCGGAATCGTGATCGGATTGAAGGAATCGATTCTGAGGCCAGAGTCTGAATCGTCAACGGATGGAAGAAATAGATTCCGAGGCAAGGGTTGGAATCGCGAAGAAATCGATTCGAAGGTGGAAATCGAAATGTTGATCGGATCGAAGGAATCAATTTGTAGGCCGGAGTCGGAATCGTGAAGGAGTCGATTCCGACGCCAGAATCGGAACTGGTAGCGAATCTAAGGAATCGATTCAGACGCTGGAATCGGAATCGTGAACGATCCGAAGGGATCAATTCGAGGCCAGGATCAGAATCTTGAAAGGATCGATTCCAAGGTAGAAATCGGTATCATGAACGATTCGAAATAATTGATTTTGAGGCCGAAATCTGAATCGTGAACAAGTGGGAGGAATCAGTTTCTAGGCGGGGGTCGGAATCGTGGAGAAATCGATCCCGGGATAGGAATCGGAATCGTGATCGGATTGAAGGAATCGATTCCGAGGCCAGAATCTGAATCGTCAACGGTTGGACGGAATAGATTCCGAGGCAAGGGTTGGAATCGCGAAGAAATCGATTCGAAGGTAGAAATCGGAATGTTGAACGGATCAAAGGAATCAGTTTGTAGACCGAAGTCGGAATCGTGAAGGAATCGATTCCGAGGCCAGAATCGGTAGCGAATCTAAGGAATCGTGAACTATCCGAAGAAATCAATTTGAGGCCAGAATCAGGATCTTGAAAGGATCGATTCCAAGGTAGAAATCGGTATCATGAACGATTCGAAATAATTGAGTTCGAGGCCGGAATCTGAATCGTGAAGCAGCAGAAGCAATCAGTTCCTAGGCCGGAGTCGGAATGGTGGAGGAATCGATCCCGGGGCAGGAATCGGAATCGTGATCGGATTCAAGGAATCCATTCCAAGGCTAGAATCCGAATCGTTATGGAATGAATAGATTACGAGGCGATGGTTGGAATCGCGAATAAATCGATTACGAAGTAGGGATCGGAATTGTGAACGAATCAAAGGGATCAATTCGAGATCAGAACCGGGATCGTGAAAGGATCGACTCCAAGGTAGAAATCGGTATCATGAACGATTCGAAAGAATTGATTTTGAAGGCGGAATCTGAATCGTGAACAAGTGGAAGTATTCAATTTCCATGCCGGAGTCGGAATCGTGAAGGAATCGATTCCGAGGCCAGAATCTGAATCGTGAACGGATCTAAGGAAACGATTCCGAGTGCAGGATCGGAATCGTGAAAGAATCGAAGGGATCAATTCAAGGCCAGAATCGGGATCGTGAAAGGATCAACACCAAGGTAGAAATCGGTATCATGAACGATTCGAAAGAATTGATTTTGAAGGCGGAATCTGAATCGTGAACAAGTGGAAGTAATCAATTTCCATGCCGGAGTCGGAATCGTGAAGGAATCGATTCCGAGGCCAGAATCTGAATCGTGAACGGATCTAAGGAAACGATTCCGAGTGCAGGATCGGAATCGTGAAAGAATCGAAGGGATCAATTCAAGGCCAGAATCGGGATCGTGAAAGGATCAACACCAAGGTAGAAATCGGTATCATGAACGATTCGAAAGAATTGATTTTGAAGGCGGAATCTGAATCGTGAACAAGTGAAGTAATCAATTTCCATGCCGGAGTCGGAATCGTGAAGGAATCGATTCCGAGGCCAGAATCTGAATCGTGAACGGATCTAAGGAAACGATTCCGAGTGCAGGATCGGAATCGTGAAAGAATCGAAGGGATCAATTCAAGGCCAGAATCGGGATCGTGACAGGATCAACACCAAGGTAGAAATCGGTATCATGAACGATTCGAAAGAATTGATTTTGAAGGCGGAATCTGAATCGTGAACAAGTGGAAGTAATCAATTTCCATGCCGGAGTCGGAATCGTGAAGGAATCGATTCCGAGGCCAGAATCTGAATCGTGAACGGATCTAAGGAAACGATTCCGAGTGCAGGATCGGAATCGTGAAAGAATCGAAGGGATCAATTCAAGGCCAGAATCGGGATCGTGACAGGATCAACACCAAGGTAGAAATCGGTATCATGAACGATTCGAAAGAATTGATTTTGAAGGCGGAATCTGAATCATGAACAAGTGGAAGTAATCAATTTCCATGCCGGAGTCGGAATCGTGAAGGAATCGATTCCGAGGCCAGAATCTGAATCGTGAACGGATCTAAGGAAATGATTCCGAGTGCAGGATCGGAATCGTGAAAGAATCGAAGGGATCAATTCAAGGCCAGAATCGGGATCGTGAAAGGATCAACACCAAGGTAGAAATCGGTATCATGAACGATTCGAAAGAATTGATTTTGAAGGCGGAATCTGAATCGTGAACAAGTGAAGTAATCAATTTCCATGCCGGAGTCGGAATCGTGAAGGAATCGATTCCGAGGCCAGAATCTGAATCGTGAACGGATCTAAGGAAACGATTCCGAGTGCAGGATCGGAATCGTGAAAGAATCGAAGGGATCAATTCAAGGCCAGAATCGGGATCGTGACAGGATCAACACCAAGGTAGAAATCGGTATCATGAACGATTCGAAAGAATTGATTTTGAAGGCGGAATCTGAATCATGAACAAGTGGAAGTAATCAATTTCCATGCCGGAGTCGGAATCGTGAAGGAATCGATTCCGAGGCCAGAATCTGAATCGTGAACGGATCTAAGGAAACGATTCCGAGTGCAGGATCGGAATCGTGAAAGAATCGAAGGGATCAATTCAAGGCCAGAATCGGGATCGTGAAAGGATCAACACCAAGGTAGAAATGTATGTGTATCATGAACGATTCGAAAGAATTGATTTTGAAGGCGGAATCTGAATCGTGAACAAGTGGAAGTAATCAATTTCCATGCCGGAGTCGGAATCGTGAAGGAATCGATTCCGAGGCCAGAATCTGAATCGTGAACGGATCTAAGGAAACGATTCCGAGTGCAGGATCGGAATCGTGAAAGAATCGAAGGGATCAATTCAAGGCCAGAATCGGGATCGTGAAAGAATCAACACCAAGGTAGAAATCGGTATCATGAACGATTCGAAAGAATTGATTTTGAAGGCGGAATCTGAATCGTGAACAAGTGGAAGTAATCAATTTCCATGCCGGAGTCGGAATCGTGAAGGAATCGATTCCGAGGCCAGAATCTGAATCGTGAACGGATCTAAGGAAATGATTCCGAGTGCAGGATCGGAACCAGGAATGAATCTAATCTAATCTAATTTGGCTCAGCCCTACCGATAAAGTTTGATACGCGGCTCCTCGGGAGCAAGTTACGCCACTGCAGCAACCGCAGTGTATCTGCGTGAAATTTCGCACCGGAAAGATTGTCGTTCGTTCATGTCGCACCACCCTGTATACGTTGCATGCGCCCCAGGCACCGCGACGCTCCCGACGCCGACGTCGATCGCCCGGCGTTGCCTGCGCTTCCGCCGTCGGGCTGTCGGTCATTTGAAACCCGAACTTCGTCCGCACTGGATGGCTGGATTGAATTGATAAGCAGCTAGAAACCCTCGTGCAAGGCCCCAAAACAACCGACGTCACGAACGCTGCTTCAAGAATCATCGTGTATTGACCAATCAGCAAACCGGTCAGAAGAAAGTGAAGCTTCTTCCTGTTTTTGTGATTATCAAGGCAGTGCTTTGAGGCTCATCGCCGGCTCCAAGAATCAAGCAACCGTTGAGAGTCAGGAGAAAGTGAAAGTACTTCCTGTGGTGACTAACAACGCAAACCTTACACCATCAAATTAGGCTGCGATATTTTAGCAGCCTCCAGGAGTTACGTGAAAGTGACTATTAGTGCTTTTGGTTTTGATTTTGTTTACGTGCCGCCGGAATCGTATTTGTTTCAGTATTCCGGTAATTATACAGTGATCGAAACGTAGTGATACTGTCGCGAGCCGTAGAAAAAAAGGTGTGTTGCGGTGATACCAATTTTCGTGGGAAACATAACCTCTAGGGTCAAAACAACCAAAAGTCGAGTAGGAAGTAGGGATTATATTTTGAAGTGAAAACATTTCCGGTTTTGCTAGACTTCGATAATAAGGTGTCGCCCACCCTCATCCCATGCTAAGCTGTACTCGGTTCCGCAAAGTTGCTATCAATAAAAATACTAGATCAACGTGCTCATAAAATATACAGGGTGACCCAACGAAAAGGTCCCACCCCTATTTGTGACTCTCCTGGTACATTTTAGGAAAAACGCTCAGACAAGTCAATTTTAATTGCTAGGGGGACGTCTTTTCATCTATAGCCATATAATACAGGGTGATCCAAAAATAAGATATGCGTTACACTTTGGATTTATAAATGAAAGCCCCATTTTTTTATATTTCAAGATTCTTCATGAAGTTTTTAGTAACTTTCGTATAATAAATCTCATACTGAAGCTAGGATCAACGTCAAATTTTTAATCACGATTTCCTCTTACTTGCGTCTACCTGTATACAAAATTTCATTCAAATAAAATCGCGGATTGATGTCTGTTAATGATTAAAAACCTCAGGGAAAACACAAGGATATTTTTCAAACTCACGTCAGGATTCTGGACCTTTTTGTATCTAATTTGCCATCAAACTTTCCATGGACTGATCACATCAGCTAAGATGAACAAAACGGAAACTAGGCTGGAACTGCAATAGTAGAAAAATTCAGGCAAAGACGGAATTTACAACAAAATTACACAAGTCTATGTAACAATTTTTCCTTGAGGGCTTCATCATCATTTGTTTTATTTTTATTTTTACGAAAACAGTGCACTTCAGGAAAAAACACAAGAGTAACTATTTGTAGCAATTAGCACGTTAATTTTGAATATGAACAATACTTAGATAAATCCACATACCAAAGTTTAATTCGTTCCAGTTGACGGTTTTGAAGATATTAAAAAAAAATTATTTTTAAACTTCAACACCCCTCGTATCTTTTTAATGAAGCCCTCGACGAAAAAATATTACATAGAAGACCCCTCTTAAAATGTGGTCCTGTGTATGATGTTTCATTTTTGGTCACGACTTGTGCATTCCTACTTGAGGCTGAATTCAAATGTCGCTCATCTAAAGACACAGCAAAAACTAAAAACTAATTATTCTATTAAGAGTCCGAAAAATCACTGTTTCATGCAATTTCGAAAAACTATTGAGCATTGCTATCAGTGATCTACACATAATCTGTAGGAGACCGAAAGACGATCCTCAAAATGAAACATTGTATGTTTGATTTGCTGCAGTTGAAAACAAATTTGTAATTTTCTATTTTCTTTGCAATAACAAATCAACCCCAATGTTGTCACACGATCAGTATTCACTGTGGACTATTCCAGCAGTATTTACTAATAATGCCGTGAATGAAAATTACTAGCGTCGTGGCTGCACGGTCAGTAAATATCACATTCCCCGGATCATAGTAAATACTCATCAAGACATTCGCCTGAGGTCTTGTTTTGAAGGTATTTCCATCTCCCACAATTAATCTATCTTTCTACTGATACCAATACTTTATAGTTTTTTCTATGGACGAAAAAGTGATTTTTGCAACGAACGTTTGATAAAAAAACCCAGTTAATTTTTCTGTTGCTCTTGATAAGTCGCCTTCGCATTCACCCTCAAAAAACTGTATACAATTTTTGATATTCTTGGTATCCTTCGCACAAAAATGAAACACTATTGATAGACGTAATTTTTTATTATTAGACCCGACGCCGACACACTGAGCTACTTTTATGCTGAGTTTCCTTAGCCTTCAAGTCACTAAGGTTATTCTCGGCACTCTCAAATCGTTTCGAACAGATGCTTGAAAAAAGAAATGTCCAGGAAGCTTTCGTAGCTATACAATCTCAATAAATATTTATTAAAGTGTCTGGTAATATTTACCTTACTCCAAAGATTACGATACGATCACATGACAATTTTGAAAAATTGGAATTGGAAAATACATATAATACTATAAATGCACGTAAAGCTTTGGCAATCGGATAATTAGATCAAAATTATGTTTATTCTTTGTCTTTTCAAGCTTTATTTAGCATGACTGCCACAATTACTTTTAAAACAGTTAAATATCATACAAATATTTAGAAAAACAAAACTTGCATCTCTAAAAATTTTTACTGTCTATGAAATGTTCCTTTAATATTCTTTTAAACATCTTTAAATTACAAGTAGACTTTATATCATTATTTAGTTTATTAAATTTAAGTAACGTCTTCTGTGGTAATGATTATTCAATTCTATGTAATTTTCTAAATGCTGTGGAAAAATATGATTTTTTTATTTTAAATATAAAAATAAGAACCAAATATGTGCACTCTTTACATTCCATCACTACAATTCTTTCAACATAGATTTTATTTTGGTGTACTTATTTTTATTCAATATTATTCTCATAGCTTTACTTTGTAGGACTAGTATACTAAGTGACATATAAATCCGAACACCCAGTTTAAGTGGTTTTATTTTAATAAAAGTTGGTGAATGTATCTTACTGTAAATAACAAGTGAAAAAATTTTCAGCCTTATCAGTTGGACATTCCGGTTTTTATACTGCTCTTTTTTAATTCACTAACGCTCTAAAAATGAATATTTCAGCCGCGGTAAAGAATCAACGTTGGCGGATTTTGGTTCTTGGCATCCTTTACGATCGGTTACGATGCCTAGAGTACGGAGACCTGTACGATTTCGTCAACTTAGTGAGTTTGATAGGGGCCGTATAGTGGGACTTCGGGAAGCTGGACTTTCTTTTCGGGCAATTGCAGTTAGAGTGCAAAGAAGTGTAGACACTGTGGTTAGATGTTGTCAGGCATGGCTTCGAGAAGGCCGTACGCAAAGAGCAAGGGGCACTGGACGCCGCCGTAGAACAACAGACCGTGAAGATCGCCGCCTAAGATTATTGGCCTTAAGGGACCGTTTCTCCACTACCAGGTCCATTGCAAATGAATGGTTTGCAGAACACGGAAGACCTATTGACATGCGAAGTGTTTACCGATGAATGAGAAGTTTTGGCTTGTTTTCATACCGGCCACACTGGGTCCTCCCTTTAACTCGAGAACACCGACGTAATCGCCTTGAGTGGTGCAGACAACGGTCACTCTGGGATCAGGAATGGAACAGTATTGTCTTTAGTGACGAGTCTCGATTTTGTTTAGGCATGCACGATGGTCTTGCCAGGGTTAAAAGGCGACGTGGTGAAAGGAGGAATCCACAGTTTTTTGTTGAAAAACATGTTCATCACACTGTTGGAGTTATGGTTTGGGGTGCTATAGCTTATGGTTCCAGGTCACCTTTAATCTTCATCAGAGGTAACATGAACGCGCAGCGTTATATCCACGAAGTTCTAGAACCCCATCTTTTACCCTATCTTGACACCCTGGCAGATCCAACTTTCCAACAAGATAATGCCCGACCACATGTTGCAAGAGTCACAATAGACTTCTTTCAACATAATGATGTCACATTGTTACCATGGCCACCAAGATCTCCCGACTTATCCCCAATTGAGCACGTGTGGGATATGATGGGTAGGAGATTGCTCAATTTGCAACGTCCTCCTCAGACTCTAGAAGCAGTTCGAGAGGAGTTGGTGGTTGCCTGGAATGAGATACCACAGGAGGACAATGCGTAGCACATCAGGGTGCATCCACACATTATTAAAGGTCAAAGGGCTTTAAAGCAGTGCAATCATTTTGAAATTTTTATCATTTACTTATTATGATTCATTAAGTACTTTTATTAAAATAAAACCATTTAAACTCGGTGTTCGGATTTATATGTCACTTAGTACAATTTTGATAATACGTCTTCATTGGCAGTGAAATAGATTGAAAGTTGAACAATATAGTATATGCGGTAGACTTATTGAATTATACGCTTTTTTTGAAATGTGAGAAGCCCTATAAAAGTAATTTGTTTTTTTTGTCAATATTTGAGAAATAATGTAAGTGATCTTCAAACTCTATTTTACGATCAAATATTTAATTGATGCAACGTTTTCAATTATTTTTTAACCTAACTATAACAGGACTTTCACTCAAGTATTTCCTTATAAGCATACATTTTGTTTCAGAAGTATTGAATTTTAGTTTATTTACATTTAACGAATTTATGATTTTTGCGAAGTCAGAATTTAGCGTCTTTAAAGCAGTATCTATCATATATTTTCATCTGATATGTATATCACTGTATCATCTGCAAATATCTGAATTTTAGCACAAATGTCATTAATTTAATACGAAAGGTTTGAAGTTTTGTGCGATATATGCCTAAATAAAATCCTCCTCCGGTGAGAAAACATATCTGTAGTTATTGTGATAGGAATTCAATCAAGGTCAATATCAGAACCGCAATAGTAAGCTTCCTGAACACCACAATCAATCATTATTTGAACATACTTCATTTATGACTAAAGCACTGGCCTAGTCAAAACAAACGTGTCGTTTCGTAAATAGCCGTTTTGTTGTGTTTATCTCTTGCTAAATGCGCTTTACGCAGCAGTTTTGCTTTTTAATATTTCCTCGATTGAGTCACTCGTAGACTGCAAAATAAAAAGTATAGTAAAGTTAGTCATGAGTTTTGAGCTTTTCTGGTGGAATTTAGATTGTTATATATTTTCAACTTGTAGAGTGAAGATAATTCAACTTTTATGGATCTCTTTAGACCTCTAGAATTGATGCATCTGAGAAATGGTGCTATAAATGTTGTTTTCCTCTTTATTCTTGTGGCAATAAAAATACGTTCGCATATTTGTCAGGATCTTTAAAGCAACGTAATTAAAAAAATATTGGAGAGAACTTAATAAAAAAACACGAATCTCATTAGAAAGTTTGTAAAGGACTTTGTGATTTTAAGGGACAAAATAGCGTTTCATTCTTTATATTTTCTGATTCATCACAAAATAAATATTTATGTATAACTCTCCATACGATACGAATTTACTACGAGGGTGCTTTCAAAAATATAGTTACCACATTTTTTCAGGTACAATGAATTTTTTATTGAAAAAACGAATTCACTATTGGAAATATTGATCTTTAAGCTATTTTTCTCCATTCTTTTCTACGCATATTTTTAGACGTGAAATCCACTTTTTCACTCACGCCTCAAGGAAGTCAACCGCCAGCCCGTTTAAAAAAACTGCTCCTCGTCCGTCTTGAACTGTTGATATTTCAATTTGGGAAACGCTTTTTAAGCGTATTAAAGCTTCATGTTACCATTCCCGTGTTTGAAATCTGGCACAAAATTTGATATAACAAATGTTTGATCGCAAAGCGAGAAAAATGACAGTGTTTCTGTATGCGCGGTTAGGATTAATGTTTTGGGCCCAAAAAACCTCATTTGAAGCTTTAGAAACTACTTTAATTAAATAACGTTAAAATAAAACCGAAGTCTGATACTTTTCAGTTGTATAACATCCCGATTCGCAAACTTGAAACATATAAGTTCCCTACTGCTTTGCAAAAGCTTTATTTACGTCTGTCATGTCAAAATAATAGTTCACCTAAAAATTGTAAAATCATCCAGAACATGATCATTATTCTGTACTGGGGGGGGGGGGGGGGCAGGGCAGGCCCCCCACGACACTGCCCCTGATGATGCTTGTTTCATATTACATCTAGAAATAAACCGAACATTGATGTCAGCATAGCGTGGAAAGCACAAAGTCAATCTACTTAGACTTAGGAGACCCACAAAATGAGACCACAGCAAAAAAGTTATGGCCGAAAACGGAGGCAGACTGCAGGTTTTGGCACTTGTTGGTAATGCAACAATGGTTTCTCACTTCAAATTCATCGGATTCGTAGGATTCGTAGTTCTAAATTACAACAAAATGGAGTATTTTGGTCAAGTAGTTTTTTTGAGAATTATTGAGCAATACACAGGCTTCGTTCAAAGAGCTTTTAATAGCAAAATACACGTGTTTACCTTGCCGATACAAATCACAAACCATTCCGAAGATAAATCTTATTTTTATGCGAAAAACAAAGGTTACGTTTTTTTATTCTAAACAAATTCAAACATTTCGTATTTGTGAGTAATTGAACAAATGCGCTACAATATTCGTTACTAAACACATTTTAAAACAAAGCTGATGTTTCTATCATCTTTTGTTGCGAATTGTTTAAATTTGTTTAGAAGAAAAAACGTGACCCATCCTTTTTTGCATAAAAATAACATTTATCTTCCGGAATGGTTTGCGATTCATATCGGCAAGGTAAACTAGTGTATTTAGCTATGAAATTCCCTTTGAACTAACCCTGTATATTGCACAATAAACTAGTAGTGAGGACCTGCAGGCTGCCTCGGTTTTCGACCATAACTTTTTTGCTGTTAGTCGGATCTTTTTACGTGTGGTCTCTAAACACTTTCGATTGAATCCCAAAAAACAAATTTTCTCATTCTCTGTTGTCGTAAAAAGTTTTACCACAAAAATTGCTGTACCCCATTTGATGCGTCCATGTTTTAAATACGCCCTGGAACAATTTGCAGCAATCAAACCAGACTTTACAGTCATACTAAGTGACATATAAATCCGAACACCCAGTTTAAATGGTTTTATTTAAATAAAATTTTGTGTAAGTACTAAATGAAGCATAATAAGTAAATGATAAAAATTTCAAAATGATTGCACTGCTTTAAAGCCCTTTGACCTTTAATAATGTGTGGATGCACCCTGATGTGCTACCCATTCTCCAACGCGCCTAGGCATGCTTCTGATCAGGTGGTCAATGTCCTCCTGTGGTCTCTCATTCCAGGCAACCACCAACTCCTCTCGAAGTGCTTCTAGAGTCTGAGGAGGACGTTGCAAATTGAGAAATCTCCTACCCATCATATCCCACACGTGCTCAATTGGGGATAAGTCGGGAGATCTTGGTGGCCATGGTAACAATGTGACATCATTATGTTGAAAGAAGTCTATTGTGACTCTTGCAACATGTGGTCGGGCATTATCTTGTTGGAAAGTTGGATCTGCCAGGGTGTCAAGATAGGGTAAAAGATGGGGTTCTAGAACTTCGTGGATATAACGCTGCGCGTTCATGTTACCTCTGATGAAGATTAAAGGTGACCGGGAACCATAAGCTATAACACCCCAAACCATAACTCCAACAGTGTGATGAACATGTCTTTCAACAAAAAACTGTGGATTCCTCCTTTCACCACGTCGCCTTCTAACCCTGGCACGACCATCGTGCATGCCTAAACAAAATCAAGACTTGTCACTAAAGACAATACTGTTCCATTCCTGATCCCAGAGTGACCGTTGTCTGCACCACTCAAGGCGATTACGTCGGTGTTCTCGAGTTAAAGGGAGGACCCAGTGTGGCCGGTATGAAAACAAGCCAAAACTTCTCATTCATGGGTAAACACTTCGCATGTCAATAGGTCTTCCGTGTTCTGCAAACCATTCATTTGCAATGGACCTGGTAGTGGAGAAACGGTCCCTTAAGGCCAATAATCTTAGGCGGCGATCTTCACGGTCTGTTGTTCTACGGCGGCGTCCAGTGCCCCTTGCTCTTTGCGTACGGCCTTCTCGAAGCCATGCCTGACAACACCTAACCACAGTGTCTACACTTCTTTGCACTCTAACTGCAATTGCCCGAAAAGAAAGTCCAGCCCGAAGTCCCACTATACGGCCCCTATCAAACTCACTAAGTTGACGAGATCGTAAAGGATGTCAAGAACCAAAATCCGCCAACGTCGATTCTTTACTGCGGCTGAAATATTCATTTTTAGTGCGTTAGTGAATTAAAAGAAAGCAGTATAAAAACCGGAATGTCCAACTGATAAGGCTGAAAATTTTTTCACTTGTTATTTACAGTAAGATAAATACATTCTCCAACTTTTATAATAAAATAAAACCATTTAAACTGGGTGTTCGGATTTATATGTCACTTAGTATATTTTACGATACACTTATTTAAAAGAAATATTCAACAACCCAAAGCTTTTTCCTTTGTCCAGCGCGTGAGGTACAATTTGGCACCACGTCAGAGAGTGAGATTTAAAAATAACTCCGACTTGCACACTGGTTCGCAGCGTCAGAAAAAACTTTGTGCGCGATTTCGCTAGACCACGTTTTGAATTTACTTTCTTTTTATTTTAGGCTCTTGGAGAATCTACGCGAGAAACACGAGAAAACCTCGAGAGACCTAGAGGAGATAGTGAAAGCACTAGGCGACATCACCCGCACCAAAGCTGAGCTATATAACCTCAAACAAGAAGTCACTGGATTCTACGTATTCGGCGAGGACCTCACGCAGACCGAAAAGGACTTGCAAAACTTACATTCAAAGGTGGACAGCGAGATAAAAAAAGTGAGGACGTTCTGTTCTAACCTCAAAGAAAAATACGTCAAGTCGCAGCAGATCGTGCCTTCAGACGTAGCTCAGGAACTGAACCAGTTGGAACTGTTGACTGAAACTATCACAAGCGCCATGGAAGAGAAAGACAGGGAATTCAAAAAAGCGAGGACTGTCCGGACAGATTACCTCAATGAGGTAGAAGACGTCCAAAACTGGATAAAAGAAGCCGAGATCAAAGTCCAGGATCGATCCGTCGAGCCACAAGTTCTGCACGAGCACTTGCAGCAAATCCAAAGCGAAATAGCAGGCATCAGCGACAAACTGGAGAAACTAACCAGAAACGGAAGAGCGATAATGGAGAAAACTAAAGACGATGAAGAGAAGGAGATGATTCAAAACACGATCAACAATCTGACTGATCAATTGGCACAAGTGAGGACATGGCTGGAAGAGAAGAAGCAACAAGTGGGTGATATTCTGGACGCTTGGCAACGATTCCTGACACTCTACCAGGCTGTGATGACTTGGGTCGGCGAGAAAAAGGAGTTCCTCAAGGAGCCGTTACGCCTAAGCACCCTGCAGGATTCTAAACAGAGGTTACACGATTATTCGGTAAGTATTGGTCTTTATAGGGTTTATTTTGGAACTAAGGGGGTAGCCCGACAAGTACTTAGTCTCGTTGCTATCGCAAGTTTTTAGAAAACTTATTTTTCAGATGGGTTAAACGATTTGAAGCTTCACTGGGTCAAGCAAAGGGTGATTCACAAGTCGTGACCAAAAATTAAACAGCATACTGTATTATACGAACCGTAAATATAAAGATAAACGTGAAAACATCTCATCTTAGAAGATTCCGAAGTACCGCCCCGTACCATTTCATTTTTATAACATGGGCAGTACGTAAACAATTCGATATGGGCAACAGTGCCATGGTAATATTAAAGTCACTTACTTGGTGACGAAATGACAACGAGTTATCCTCCTTTGGCAAGCGATAAGGGCGATATGATCGGATTGTCGGGGCCATCGCCTAATTTTAGAAAAAGACTTATGAGTGTCTCCCGTATTCAACTGACTCATGACATCACATGCACAAATCTACTATTTACCATTACATTAATGTACTCCAACTACTACTACGGATTCGTCATCGACTGAATCACGGGATCGTCACACAGACTAATCTTGATCGTCACACAGACTGATCATTAAGTCGTCAGACAGGCTAAACCTGACCGACACACAGACTGATCATTAAGTCGTCACACAGACTAATGCTGATCGTCACACAGACTGATCATTAAGTCGTCAGACAGGCTAAACCTGACCGACACACAGACTGATCATTAAGTCGTCACACAGACTAATGCTGACCGTCACACAGACTGATCATTAAGTCGTCACACAGACTAATCCTGGCCGTCACACATACTGATCATTAAGTCGTCACACAGACTAATCCTGGCCGTCACACAGACTGATCATTAAGTCGTCACACAGACTAATCCTGACCGTCACACAAACTGATCATTAAGTCGTCACACAGACTAATCCTGACCGTCACACAGACTGATATTTAAGTCGTCACACAGACTAACCCTGACCGTCACATAGACTGATCATTAAGTCGTCACACAGACTAATCCTGACCGTCTCACAGACTGATCATTAAGTCGTCACACAGACTAACCCTGACCGTCACACAGGCTGATCATTAAGTCGTCACACAGACTAATGCTGACCGTCACACAGACTGATCATTAAGTCGTCACACAGACTAATCCTGACAGTCACACAGACTGATCATTAGGTCGTCACACAGACTAATCCTGACCGTCACACAGACTGATCATTAAGTCGTCACACAGACTAATGCTGACCGTCACACAGACTGATCATTAAGTCGTCACACAGACTAACCCTGACCGTCACACAGACTGATCATTAAGTCGTCACACAGACTAATCCTGACCGTCACACAGACTGATCATTAAGTCGTCACACAGACTAATCCTGACCGTCACACAGACTGATCATTAAGTCGTCACACAGACTAATCCTGACCGTCACACAAACTGATCGTTAAGTCGTCACAAAGACTAATCCTGACCGTCACATAGACTGATCATTGAGTCGTCACACAGACTAATCCTGACCGTCACACAGACTAATCATTAAGTCGTCACACAGACTAACCCTGACCGTCAAACAGACTGATCATTAAGTCGTCACACAGACTAACCCTGACCGTCACACATACTGATCATTAAGTCGTCACACAGACTAATGCTGATCGTCACACAGACTGATCATTAAGTCGTCACACAGACTAATCCTGACCGTCACACAGACTGATCATTAAGTCGTCACACAGACTAATCCTGACCGTCACACAGACTGATCATTAAGTCGTCACACAGTCTAATGCTGACCGTCACACAGGCTGATCATTAAGTCGTCACACAGACTAATCCTGACCGTCAAGTTCACAAAGCGCACTACTTGATCTGAGAAGCGATCTCCTCCACGCAATAATTGAACTGCATCGCCATCCACGCCCGTATCTTTAACAAAGTTTATCCTGGGAACAAGTACCCAGAGAAGGAATGGAATGTATAATGTAAACAGGCGTAAGGGCCGTAGCGCTGAGTGACACTAAGCAGCCTTGTGAACCTACTGGAAAGGTTTTATGTGCTACAGGGTTGGACTCGCATGCAATAATGTGTTTGAGATATTTCGTAAGCTTACAATACACAGAACCGCATTTTAAGGGGGGTCTTCTAAGTAACATTTTTCCCTCGAGGGCCAGTTCCCAAAATAAAAAATTCTAAAAGATGCAGCGATATGAGACCAGTAAGTGTGTTACCAGACATTGAAAAATTATTAGAGTCCATAGTGCATGACCAATTAATGCAGTTTATAGAAGAAAACAAAATTTTAGTGGAGGCGCAAGCAGGCTTTCGAAAAAAATATTCCACAGAAACCGCTTTTCAGTTGGTAACTAAGAATTGGAGAAGAGCCATAGACTCAGAAGAAGTTGTCATAGCAGTATTTTTGGATTTGAAGAGGGCATTTGAAACGATTGATAGAGATAATTTGTTAGGTAAATTGAAGGCATATGGTATAACAGGAAGTGTTTTAGATTGGTTTAGAAATTATTTGTTTAAAAGGATGCAAGTTACAAAAGTTAATGACACTATTTCATCAAAAATTGAAAATACGTTGGGTGTTCCAGAGGGCAGTATCCTGGGACCACTTCTTTTTATTTTATACATAAATGATTTACCTGCCATAGTCAAAAAATGAAAAATTCAGATTTTCGCCGATGACACTATGATATATATAAGAACTAAAAATATTCAGACTGGTATCTCTTATATAAATGAAGACTTGAAACTTGTCTCAAAATGGTTAGCATCTAACAGACTAAAATTAAATACAGGTAAAACGAAAGCCTTGTTATTCGGAAAAAGACAATGTACAAATGTTCAACTGAATATTGATGGTGAAGATATTGAATTCGTAGAAAATTTTAGATACCTGGGGATTTTTGTTGACTCTCCATTAATTTTTGATATTAATTATGAAAAAGTTATAAATAAGATTAGTAGTAAAGTGGGATATTTATCGAGAGTTTCTGGATGTCTGAGTTCATATAGTAGAAAAATTATCTATAATACCATCATTCTTCCAAATTTCTTGTACTGTTCGACTATTCTATATTTAGCAAATAATTCCATTTTTGAAAGACTGCAAATTTTACAAAATACGTGCATGAGAATAATACTGAATAAAGATAAATATACTCCAATTAGGCAAATGCTTAGCAAATTAAAATGGGTCAATGTAAACATTTTTATCAAATATCTTGTAATGATATTCATTTATAAAGTAAAAAATAATATATTTCCATCAAGTCTAACTAATTTAACATCATCAAATGTCGACCATCATTTACATAATACCAGAAATAAAGATGACTTCCATTTAATGACCAAAAAGTATAACATATGCTACAAATCTGTATTCCATCAAGGGTTGATTGAATATAATAAATTATAATTATAAAAGACCAGAAAACTTAGAGAAAATTTAAAGTAAAATTGAGAAATCACTTGTTAAATCTACAATTATAGGTTGCCTAGAATTCACATCATACATCATATGGTTTGAATTTACTAGTTTTAAGTTGTTTACAATTATTCTGTTTATATAGCCAAATGTGCTAAATAAATCTACTACTTCTGCAAATAATGGCCTAACGCAAGTAACAATTTAACAGGTTCAGAAAATATTACGGTTTCCGATGAAATTATAATTATTAGAACATAAACCCAGCCACTTAGATTTGATTGCCAATAGAAACGTTGTTACTTGCCAAATTTCACAAATCCTTTTTGGATGGGGCGCCAAAATCTGTGAACATTTTTAAAATCGTCGTAGACTTCCATTACGATGTGATATAAACAAAGACATTGCTAATTCTATTTTTGCTATAAACTGCAATTGATCTTCGCCAGCATCTAGACATGAAATCTAATAGGATTCTATATTTAGAGAGCATTAATTTCAATTTTCAATCAAACGTAGCCTGCCGAACGTGAATATTTTTCAAATCTAAAAATAGCTCGGATGCGCAAGCTTCAAAATTCAGCATTTTTTATTTTCGCAAATGTACGCAGTATCAACCGCGGTTGTAGCGTGACCGCAAGTAATAAGTTTACCAGCGACTCTCAAATATCGCGAAAATCGTTTAAAATATAGAACAGTGAGTTTAGAAGATCCAGGTAAAATCGTGAAATCAACGTTTATTTCGTTTGCAACACCTGAAGCCGATATATTTACGGAATTTGCTCCTCTGTGTTCTTTTTTCTAGACGGGAGCGGTGTTATTCACAAAGAAAAATCATGGGGGTGGTATGTCCGACTTTTTTGAAGTCGTAAGTGGTCAACATAACGTAAAATAATATTCATGCTTTCTATTTCTAATTAGACAAAGTTTCGCGAGATGCGTTTTAGTGTTCATGAGTTTCTTCCAGAACAAAAGCAGGTTACAAGTATTGAAAGGAATGCCACTTTGTACGTACGGCAACTTGGAGTGGAAATAGTACAAAAATGTTGTTTACCCTTTAAGGAGCTTCAAAATATCATAAGCCTGCTTATCAGATCAAGAACTAAAATATTTTTTGCAGCAGAGAAAACCGTGTATTCTTCAGTATTTTTGAGGCGTCGTAACTAAAAATAAATGTTTGAGAAAGGTTGATAGAAAAAATTCGACTTGTACGAGGGTTGTTTTAAAAATAAGGTTTTTCAGGCACAAGGAATTTTTATTTGAAAAAACGAACTTGATCTTTAAGCTATTTTTCCCATAGTCGCAATTGTTTTCTACGCATTTTTCTAGACGAGTTTGAATAATCGTACACAATATTTGTTCCCTCCTTATATACGCCACTGGTTAGCAGCGAGAATTTTTTAGCACCCTGTATATTCCTGACTTCATTCTAAATTACACCACAACTTTCCTGTACTATCCAAATACGGAAAGATCAATGTTAAGATCCCCGCATAGCCCTAACTGTGAATCTAACCCAAAACGTCCACGTTTATCTAGAATGCCGTGAAAAGCTGTAAAGTGGCCACGAAGAACCTGAGCGACATGGCCAAAGAATTGGACCATATCGGCAGCGTGACTAGCGTTGGAGATTTGCCACAGAAGATGGAACAAGCAGAGGAAGCCAAAGTGGAAGTTGAAGCTTTGATTTTAGAAAGGGTAAGCAATATTTTCTCTGCTATCATCTTCTAGTTTGATATAGTATTTCTACTGATAACAGGTATATTTTTTAAAAACAACAAAAAAATAAATTTTACATAAAATTTAAGGGGCCGTTCAAGTATAACGTGAGCACTATGGGGGGTCTTTGCTTTGCGTATTTTGGATGACATGGGGGGTAGGGGAGTCTAGATGATGATTACGTCATCGGCAGTTATTTACTTTTTTACACGAATCGCAACCCTCACATTGTCTTTGCTTGAAAACGAAACGCATTTTCGGGGATTCCCGCAAATAATGCATACGTTTAGTGAACAGCGTGCGGTAATTCCCCTACTCGCTTTAGAACCGAGTAGGGGAATTACCGCGCGGTGTTCACTTGTTTAAATTTCCTCTATCAGTGTATTGTTTCGTTCGGATACTATAGCGAGTAGACGTATTGTAAGCATAGTAAAGCAAGTTAACATTTGTGTTACCATTGATTCCATTAGCCAAAGTTTAATGTTTAAATAGGTTGTCGTTTCACATAGACAAATCCAAGTAATACCAAAAATTGTTTGAATGTTTTAAAAAATCTCATACAAGTACGAAAGTACAAAATGTACTTAACTTAAACCTGAACTGAAAAGAATGGATATTTAACTGTGCTATCAATACTAAGCTACTAGATAGTCAGCTGTTATTTGCTCTCAAGTTTGACGTAATGGATACTCGGGAGTGAAAAAAGTGAAGGCACCTTAAATTGTGACGCCTAGGGCAGGATTCTCTTTTAACGGCTTTGCTGTTTCAATTAGAAATATGAATCCAAACACTTCACATAGAAGACCGTCCATCTGAACAAAGAACGACAAGTTCAGACCAGTCGACATAATGAACGACGTATTTTTTTAATGTTGTAGAATGGACTCTTACAAGAAACTTCAGAGGAATGGGAGCAATGCGAGAAGAAGATCAAAGACGTCAGAAGCTGGATCGAGAAGACCAAGACTGCTTTAGAATCTCAACAAAATAAGAAGAAACCTTTACGGGACCAACATGGCTTGCGGGAAAAGATGCTGGCTGATATACAGATTCAGAAAACGAAAATTTCTTTGTCTGTTGAAAAATTGCAGGTAGGTAAAATCCGGGCATAACAAGGATGTTGAAAGCAAGTGTTTTTGGGTCAGTTGAATAGAAAAAGTGAATGCTTTTACTCGTGAAAAATTGAGTGAAGTGGATAGTCAGGAGTAAATATCCGCGCCTCAAAGAAATATCACGAAATAAAATCTCAAAATAGGTGAATAACAAAGAAAATAGGGAATACCCATGCTTTTATTGTAATCTCTGGTGATTATGAGCATTAATATAACACCGTAAATACACATTTCATTAATGAAAATGTCTGTATTTTGACGTTGATTTAAACTGTTTGTCATTTAATTGTATTTTTGGTTAATTTGCAAGTAAAGTATTTTCTCATACTTTTAGGGATACTAAGATAAGAGAAAAGTATAAAATTATGGAAAAACAATATATATATATATATATATATATATATATAAAATTAATTGTTAATTGGGAAATTGGCTTTAGTTAACTCTTTTAACGGTAATCTCGAGCTTTCGGCAAATCTCTATGGAGCCTTCATCAGGAGCTGAAAACACAACTATGATGCAAGCAACCAATACGGGAAGGATTGAAATTGTCAAACAACTTACTCGTCGTTGAGATTGCAGCCAAATGGTGTTTCAAAACGAACGCGAGGATGACAGCACTTGTTACAAATTTAAAACCAACCGGACGGACACATTGGATTTATTGATAACGACGGATACAATCGTTAGGTGTTAACACTATATATCATATTTTAATGTGTTCGGGTGTATTGATATTTAGTGTTAACACCTAACGATGGTATCCGTCGTTATCAATAAACCTAATATGTCCGTCCGGTTGGTTTTATATTTGTAACAAGTGCTCTCATCCCCGCGTTCCTTTGAAACACCATTTGGCTGCAACCTCAACGACGAGTAAGTAGTTTGACAATTTAAATCTTTCCCGTATTGATTGCTAGCATCATAATTGTGTTTTCAGCTCCTGATGAAGGCTCCATAGAGATTTGCCGAAAGCTCGAGATTACCGAAAAAGCCTAAAAAGTTTGCCAATTTCCCAATTAACAATTAATTTTATTTTTTTGCCCAATTGGTCGTTGGATATGGCAATGACTACTATATATATATATATACATATATCCAAAAAGTAATTTTTGAAAAGATCATTTTAACGTAACTACAGAACACAGAACTACCATTTTGCACAAATAGTATTAGTTTTTGTTTACCTTAGATCACAGACATATATATATATATACATATATTATACGAGTATATACTTTGAAGTTGAGTCATTTATTTTAACAGTGAGTAGATCTGATCAAAAGAAATGTTTTTTTCCTTTACCATTTTTCTGGTAAAATTAAAGTAACAAAGTTATAGCCCTTTGGAAGTTTGAGTACCGCCCTGTCTCAATAATATTATGTGCTCGTGTTTGGCGACAACGGATATAATCCGCCTTATCGGTTCATCGCATCGGAAACAAAAAAGCGAAAGAATTTGGAACGATGTTTTTACAATTATTTCATTCAGTTGTATACAGTCACTGTCAGTCGGTAACGCGTGTGAATAGTGGTGTATGTTGCGTGGCTCAAACGAAATAAAAAATGGCACATGTTTATGCGGATCGGTTTCCCAATCGAGTGCAACCAACCCCTCGTGCCTTTGTTAATGTAGTACAACGGGCTCGTGAATCAGGTGACTTAAGACCTCACAGGGGACCTCACGATCAAATACAGGTCCGCACTGAAATACTTGTCGGGAAGATACTTTATAAAACAAGGTAAACATTTTTTTTAGTTTTTTTTATTTTTACACACATATTTTGGTTTATCTTCCTTCTACAATCATTATCTGAAAATTAATGACTCAACTTCAAAGTCAATCTGTATATATGTATTTCTTTTTCTCCATTAGGAATATACAGGGTGTTAATTAAGTATGTACCATAAACTTAACAGAGGGTTCTTTGGAAAGTTCATATAAACTCAGGTCCGCAAATTCTTGGCTCTCAAGATACAGGGTGTTAAAATTTAAAAAAAAATGGTTTTCGTGAAATTAAATATCCTTTACCTAATTTTGTTGTAATTTGGCGGTAGTATTTATAATATTAAGGAGCTAATTTAGCACTAACTTAACCAATCTTATTAAGCCCAGTGGCGTCTCGAGTGGGATCTGAACGAATGTACGTGACAAAAAAAATGTACGCCACTGACTTTTGTGCAATTCTTATTATGTTCTTTGGAATAAGCAATTAGAATTATTAGTACTTTTTGTCTTTTGAATTTTTTTTTCGGGTGTTGCCTAGGTTTCAAGAAAAAAAGTCCACTTAATTGCATATTATTTTTTTATAATATTTTATTGCTATGTTAATATTATTTAGTATTTGTTGTTGTTGCATAATTGGTAAAAAAAATAATAAAAAAAAATCTCAAAGAAACTTTTCCCCATATTCTTCGAGTGTACTTTTTTTCTCGAAAACTAAGCATGATACGAAAAAAACTCAAGAGAGAAGTTGTATTTCTATTTACTCCATCCAAAGGATACAATAAAGATTGCAGAAAAGTCAGTGACGTACATTTTTTGTCGCAAATATTCGTTCAGGACCCGCTCGAGACGCCACTGGACTTAATAAATTAAATCAAGTTAACTTCTTAACGTTATAAATACCATCACCAAATTACAAAAAAAATAGGTAGAGGAAATTCAAGATATGTACAAAACACCATTTTTTTAAACACCCTGTATCTTCAGAACAAAGAATATGCGGACTTTTTGTCTTAAAATCACCCAAAATATCATCTGTTAAGCTTATGGTACATACCTAATTAACACTCTGTAGGTAGACTGTAAATAAAAATAATTAACCGATATTTGTATCAAATGCTATTGCAAACACGATTCAACTCGATTTTGTTTTTCATAATTGGGTTTGTTTAATGATAACATGAATCAAAGGATTACCGGGCGATAACTCGGTGCAACTTTGTTTGAACAATATCTTTAAAAAAATTACAAAGGATTGCTTTTTCGCTCTGGACAAAGCTTTTCAGATGATTCTTGTTGAAAAAAAGACGTAATTTTGCGGTAAAGTTGGCCGTTTTCGCGTCTGAAAAACTGCCAATAGCTACAACGCCTAAGAAGTCGGTTAGAATTTTTTTTATCATGAACAAACTGAAACAATACTAAAATGAAAATATAAATTTCCATATAAGAACATATTTTTTAACTTTATCGGTTTCTAGTCTATTTCTACTCGTAGGCAGATATAACGTTTTGTAACCATCTCACACCTTAAGAGGGCGTTCTACCTTACCGTACGGAAGAAAACTTGCTTTTGATAGGTTAATTTTTAGTACTTTCCGAACAAAAAACTATTCCTTATAACGAACTTCCAAATTTGAAGCTCCTACGTTCAAAAACAACCGAGAAAAGCAGGAACTACGAACAGCATTTTCTTTCTTTCTATTCAACTGACCCATTGACGCGACCGAATCTCCACATCCTTCAATTCAAATTTCCCGCGCAGCTGCACTTCCGCTCGGGCGTAGAGACGGATTCCCGCGTGACCGAATCCGCGTCCGACCTCCTGTCAGAACTGGACGATCTCAGCTCCGCCATCAAGACTCAAATCAACCAATTGGAGCGGACCATCGCGCAGGTGGACGCCTATCAGCTGGAGGTCCAGCAACTCCGACAAGCTATCGTGCACGTGGAACAGCAACTGCGCACGGCGATGGCGCCTAATTACGCGCCGCACGACCGAGAGAGGGCGCTGCGAGAGCAACAGGTAGGCGGTGTGACAAGTGACGGCTGGGTGACAGTTGCGGCGGTTTGGCGGATAAAAGATTCGAAATGGAAAGGTCTTCGCATTAGATTTTGCTCATGGTGAGCAGTCTTGACAGATGTCAATCGCAAATCGGAAAAATGGCGATATTTGGTTAGCGGGCTTATAAAACATTTTAACAGTCATAAGTATAGTCACCAAAATATCACTTAGAAAATTTCGAAATTCACAGTAGTTCCGGAGACAGTCGGAAAAAACGAATTTTCCAAATTTGTTTTGTATTTTCCTGACTATAGGGCGTAATTTAATTGATAGCTGAAAATACAGGATATGATTCCTTCTCTCATTTTTAGGAACATATGTCCTACACTTCTTAACTCTTGAGCTACAGGGTGTTAGAGTTTTAAGAAAAAAATCGTTTTCTTATCATAACTTTAATATTGTTCTGGATATTTTTATGAAATCTGACACGCACCTACTAAGCAGCAATAGCCATTTTTTGATGTAGAATACTTTGTAATATTTCTACCAGTGGCGTCCGTACTAGATTTATATTGGAGATTTTTAAAAAAAAATATAGTACGCCATTGCTTTTTCCGAAAATAAAAATCATTTTTTAAATTCTCATCTATTTTGCAACAAATTTGATCTCTTAACTTTTTTCCGTCAGATGCACCGTTTTCTCGTAAAAAAATTAAAAACAATTTTGGTTAGTTTAATCAATTGTCTTGAATAAAATTTTGCATTCCTGTCAGCAATTCCGTATGTAAAATGAATATCTGCTAATTTAAGAAACTTTCACAGTATAAAAAATCACGTTCATGAATACTTGTCAAAATAAGATCGCAACGTAATCAATCAAATGTCATTATCTTAAAAACAAAATAGGGCACCAGCGTACTATATAGTTCAAAATAATTTCGTTATACTACAAATGCACCCTGTATTTGTAGGGGGACTTTAAAATAAATTGCCCTATAATAAAAAATATTGGGATTCTAACACAATATTTCGCGGAAACAGTTCAACACCATATCAACTGAAAAATATTGCAGACCTTTCATGTCAATAACAATTGGCAATCTAAAGGAATCTCTTATCTACCAATTCCATGTACAACCACCTAAGTTTTCTGTTTGAATTAACTGAGTAACCGATGTTAGAATAGATGGGGTGGCATGATCTGTACGATTTCGGTGATGTTATTTTTTTATCACGAGACAAGTCAGTATACCATAAACAAATTCAAGAGATACCGCCAAAGAGATAGAGAAATGTATGTAGACAAGATTCTTAGCATAGCACATCTGACAGATTGCAAAACAATTACTCCATTATACGAGACATTTGGCGTTCAAACTCTTAAAACATTCACAAATAAGTTATATCTGAAGATTTTGCTATCTGTTAGAATTTTATTGTTAAGGGATGATGTGTTGGTAATAAAAAACGATATTTTCCTGAAGGAAAAATGTAAGTATACGAGTCACATGTTTATTTCTCTACCTAACATATCACATCCATCGTCATCAGTAGTTTTGTTTAGAACTGACTAATAACTACATATTTCTGCATAGTGTCAACAAGTGTGTTAAGTTAAATTCATGTCTCTATTTACATATTATATGCATATCAAAAATATGAGTCAGGGAGTGTTAGGATTTTCAATATAAGCATAAGTTTTCATGGTTGTAAAACGATTGATGAGGTTCTTAAATAAGGACAGGCCGATGTTGAAATGGAATAAAACAAATTGTGTATGGGGCAAGGCGGATTATAATGTCAGGCTTCAGCAGTGTTGCCGAACCGAAAAAGACGAAACCGGTCGATAGGTCGTTGAATTTCTGTAGATGCAAGGAAAACATCGGTAAGAAGAAAAAATCAGGGCCATCGCAAGATCAGTAGTGCGTCAAAACACACCATCTTTTCCTGGCAAAATACGGAGTTCTTTCTTACAACTTATTCAAGCTCCTTCGCAACAATCCTGGAACCTCCTTTTCATATTCTTATTTATAAGATTGGGAATCTTTTTTGTTTTATCCCTGAACTTGAAACCTCATCATCTGACAATTTAATTGAAAACAGATGAGATTTGATTTCCTTACTGATCGTCCGGTGATGATCTGATAGTCTATACCTATTATACGCACAAAAACCAATACAGGACAAGCGTACATAATTATAGGCAACCCAAATCTACGTCCGTCGTGTGCCCGACTGCCTAAGCTTTATTTTCGGTTTGGTTCTGTTTTTCGGTAAACAATCTGGAAATATCCGAATTATTTTAAAACATCTTGGAAAACGAGTTTTCGGTATTTCGGTAGACATACCGACAAATCAGTAGGTTCGGCAACACTGGGCTTGAGCGTCTAGGAGAAAAGGTGGGGCGCCCCTCACGGTCCCTCTAAATAAATCAATGATACCAAGCCGATATATCGCCAACAGCGATTCTTCGGTGAATTTCTAACAGTACGAAGTCAAAAAATGTCTGCTTATTGTATAAAACATTCATATACAACCCTTGATGTATGCTACGCCTTTGTAACTGGAACAGTGAGACGCCTTCATAACATCGACGCTTAGGCAACCAATTATGCGACAGCGCAAAATGCGTTAGTCCAGTCGACGTAGTCATAGATTTGTAATAAATCCGTTGCAAGATTTGTCATGAACTAGCGTGGAAGTAATAAATTACACTTTAATAGTGTAGTTTTATTGAAAAATTCGGCGCTATTGGTGTTATCGCCTTTTTGATTGGTCGAATGAAAGCACGTGTGACTTACGTACTGTTTGAACTTCGCTGACGTTATTTCATTTCATCATCGAATCTTCCTTATTGAAAGGTCCCTTACTAAATGCACTGATCATTTTGGTGACGGTGAATTGTGACTAAACCTTAGCAGGACAAGGACAAGGTTTTCGGTTCAGCTCATGCCACGGCCATCTGTTTCAAAGCAATATATGCGCACTGCAGCTCGTAGTGAAGCCAATTTTATCCCAAATAATATTTTTAACTATACCGTTTTACGCATAATATAGGAAACCATCATCACGTTTATGGAAGCTAAAAATGCAAAATTCAAAATTTTTGCAAATCCACCAGAAATATCAGCATTTGAAGGTATACGTTGGATTATGAAGCAAATATTTACGCATTTGATTCATGTGCCGCATCTAAAAATGGTAGGGCTTACAGAATTGGACATTATTTCCGCGCCCAAAAAATATTCGAGATAAAGTGAGAATGTGCTTCAGCTGTTTCTCTGTTCCCTACGCAGGGTTCAGAAACGACAACGTGTTCATTTCAATTCGTCCCAAACAAAAAGAGAAATCACGAAGCACCTTGAAATACGATCTGCATGCACTCGTGAAGCATCGGTAGCATTTCGAAGACCCTCACCGCAAATTAAAATAATCCGAACAACTCGGATATTGCTGTCATTTTTGTTTTTTTAGAACTGATGTATAAAGGTTCTCTTTACCAACGCTTATTGATTGAGTGCTGATGCGTACGTGTTCACGTTTGATCTGATCGACATGCAGGACAGAATAAATAGAAAAAGAACTGCGACAAATTCTCACAGATATACAATATCTCGTATTATCTCGGATAAGTTTTTGAACGCAGGAATACGTTAATCAATGATAGTACTTCATGCCTTTTTTAAATCTAGTTTTTTGTGGCTGATTTTCAGCCTTTTGTGATCATCTGTATCGATACGTGCTAGTATGATGCTATTCAAGTTCTTTTTTTTAATGTTTTGGTCGAACTTCTTGAATTCTATTTTCATACTTACTCGAAAAATATCGATCCCATAGATTTATTTTGTATCCACATTAAAATTAACTGTGTCTATGACCTCATCTCCTAAATTTCTAAGTTCTAAAGTTTTTTTCTGTCGGAAAAAATAATTTGGTAACTTTTCTACCAGGCTTGATAGACAATATTCGACAAAGAAGTGTTCAACAAAGATTTAGGAGTGGAGTCAAAATTTTAAACATGTGGCTTCAATATTTTTCGAGTAAGCATGGAGGGTAAACTCAAAAGAATCGATAAAAATTCGAAGATGTTTTTACGCTTTAAAACAATTTTATAATAGCATAAATATAAGCATATATAAAACTATAGACCACTACAAGAAGCTGACAACTTTTTTAAACAGAGTTGTGGGTTCAAGTCCCATCGACAACACGTTTTTTACGTAATCCAACATATTCCTGCAAGTGCTGAGTTTCCAATTGGAAAATAACTGACCACTGGAAACATTTTGATGTATATTACTTGATCGCGCAGAAGAGGTGGCTGAGATGACGTCATCAAGGTGTTTCCATTTCCCCCCACTCCCTCTATCGGCAGCGGGGTTGTGTTTGTTTTGGTTTCGGCTCTATTGGTTTTCCATTTAGTACAAGCAGCGAGAGAAGCTGCCTATATACCGGGTGATTCGAAAAATAATGACAGTATATCAACAGCAGAAAGTACAGATACTAGAGATTCAGGTTTTATAAACTCAAATAAAAAAAATTAGGTAAAGTGTTTCTACTGGAAATGAGGCACTAGACACGTAAATTTTGGCAGAGTCAATGGGTGTCGAATCTGGGTAATAGTTGGGGCATTTTTTGAAAAAGTGAGATGCTTGACGATAAGGCAAATAACTTTGAATCCCAGCTTGGACAACATTCTATCTACAAGTCAGGGATGTTGTTGAAGCAAGATGTCACTTTGCACACTGCAAGGGTCACTGTATGCCAATTTCACAAGCTGTTTCGTCAAAAGTTGATGTCTGGCTTTGCAGAAATTATTTTGAAATCATGAATTTTCTCTGTGACATCCTGTACAATTTTTTCTCAATTTAAGATACCATTTTGACTTAGCTTTTTTTTGACATATTCCTACTCTAGGAATATTTCCATCTTTTTTCTGAATCACCGGTATTTGGCGCACTGAATATCTCACATCGCCTGTACTACTTTTGCTTCGTTTTGACGCTTAACGCTTCCTATCTCGGACTAGCAAACATCTACATTCATTTCTGATCAGAACCGTCATTCTACATTGTACGATAACAACCACCTCAATTTTAAGTAGATGTTCGTTTGTCCGGTATCCTCTAACGACAACGCTTGTAGTTCGCTAATTTTGCTTGAGTTCCACCACATTTATCACTCGTATTTGTGTTCACTATCTATCTCAGTAACCAACACTTGGTTTTGGGAAAGTACGATGTAAGACACTGTCGCTATCTTACGCCTTCTTTCTGTAGATTTGAAATATTCACGCTGAGAATCACACACACAGTATATTGCACACCACTACATTTCGTAGATCAGTCAATGAGAGCGTTGCCAGATGAGTCGGACAGAATTCCCCCAGAATAAGCGCAAAAATCCCTAAGAATTGCTACGTTTTCGGAACGCGTGATTTATAACTTCATGAAGACGGAAGTTTGTAAAATCTGTAAGATGTCCCCTAGCTGGTTAGCTTTTAGGGTCCTACGCGGGAGATTTACACGATTTATCAAAAGGCAATTATTAATTACAGTTCATAGTGTAGGTATTTTATAGAGATGGGCGCGACCACGTGGGAAAAAAATAAAATTGTTATTTAGTAGTGGATAGTTTTGCGTGGTTAAAAATGGAGCAAAACGCCCTAAAAAATACCCAAAGGTTTCATTTTTCTTACAAGAAATTCTCCAGAACATTATAAAAAATGTCCATGGGACGCAAAAATCCCTTAAATTTGGCTCAAAATCCCAGAATATGACAATCCTAGTCAATACCATAAACCAAAAGTTTCCAAATGTACGGGCAAATCGTACTGTTTGGCGTAGTTTTTGTCCACCAACGATCAGTTTTTTAATGGAAATAACCTAAACCATAAAATAATACGCAAATATATTAAGTAACATATAAATCCGAACACCCAGTTTAAATGGTTTTATTTTAATAACAGTTGGTGAATGTATTTATCTCACGGTAAATAACAAGTGGAAAAATTTTCAGCCTTATCAGTTGGACGTTACGGTTTTTATACCGCTTTTTTTTAATTCACTAACGCTCTAAAAATGAATATTTCAGCCGCAGTAAAGAATCAACGTTGGCGGATTTTGGTTCTTGACATCCTTTACGATCGGTTACGATGCCTAGAGTACGGAGACCTGTACGATTTCGTCAACTTAGTGAGTTTGATAGGGGCCGTATAGTGGGACTTCGGGAAGCTGGACTTTCTTTTCGGGCAATTGCAGTTAGAGTGCAAAGAAGTGTAGACACGGTGGTTAGGTGTTGTCAGGCATGGCTTCGAGAAGGCCGTACGCAAAGAGCAAGGGGCACTGGACGCCGCCGTAGAACAACAGACCGTGAAGATCGCCGCCTAAGATTATTGGCCTTAAGGGACCGTTTCTCCACTACCAGGTCCATTGCAAATGAATGGTTTGCAGAACACGGAAGACCTATTGGCATGCGAAGTGTTTACCGACGAATGAGAAGTTTTGGCTTGTTTTCATACCGGCCACACTGGGTCCTCCCTTTAACTCGAGAACACCGACGTAATCGCCTTGAGTGGTGCAGACAACGGTCACTCTGGGATCAGAAATGGAACAGTATTGTCTTTAGTGACGAGTCTCGATTTTATTTAGGCATGCACGATGGTCGTGCCAGGGTTAGAAGGCGACGTGGTGGAAGGAGGAATCCACAGTTTTTTGTTGAAAGACATGTTCATCACACTGTTGGAGTTATGGTTTGGGGTGCTATAGCTTATGGTTCCAGGTCACCTTTAATCTTCATCAGAGGTAACATGAACGCGCAGCGTTATATCCACGAAGTCTAGAACCCCATCTTTTACCCTATCTTGACACCCTGGCAGATCCAACTTTCCAACAAGATAATGCCCGACCACATGTTGCAAGAGTCACAATAGACTTCTTTCAACATAATGATGTCACATTGTTACCATGGACATCAAGATCTCCCGACGTATCCCCAATTGAGCACGTGTGGGATATGATGAGTAGGAGATTGCTCAATTTGCAACGTCCTCCTCAGACTCTAGAAGCACTTCGAGAGGAGTTGGTGGTTGCCTGGAATAAGATACCACAGGAGGACATTGACCACCTGATCAGAAGCATGCCTAGGCGCGTTGGAGAATGCGTAGCACATCAGGGTGCATCCACACATTATTAAAGGTCATAGGGCTTTAAAGCAGTGCAATCATTTTGAAATTTTTATCATTTACTTATTATGCTTCATTAAGTACTTATACAAAATTTTATTAAAATAAAACCATTTAAACTGGGTGTTCGGATTTATATGTCACTTAGTATAAAATCGCACAAAGTACCAACGTTTCAGATATTTTGGACCGTGAAATTAAATGACAAATGAGATTTTTCCGGAATTTAAGTGCTTGTGACGTCAAAACTGGAACTAAGCGTAACTTCAGATGATGCGTGTCAATCTAACACTTGCTTTTTGGGCCGTATCGTCAGTCGTTTTCACAGTAATTGTAGGACGCCTTTATGGCCTAATTGATTCTCATAGTCTTTTCTCTCCTATAGAAAAGCTGGGGTATTTCTAGATTTCTAGTGTTCCGTGTCAGCTTCAGCGCTCTCCTATTGTGATGATATGTTTTCTTTTTGAATTGTAAGAAATGTCAGACGATATAATTCGAAAGCATGAACAATTTGATGCAAATAGATATTTGTAACATAACCTTAAAACAGAGCGCTGACACGGAACAGTAGAAAACTATGAAAATCGAGGAGGCCGTAAGGGCGTCCTACAATTGTAGGAACGATCCACCACTTAAAGTCTAAAGTATTAAAATTGCACATTTATCTATCTTGCCATTCACATGGAAACGAACCTAAGAAAATACACGCACGAACGATGTAAACAGGCGCAGAGTATCTCAATATCCGCAGCGACGCGCGTGCGTCTGACGCATGTCATCTGAACACACCCTTACATCCGATTTTTGACGTCACGTTCACGCGATCCATATCACACGATATAGGTTGCAAAACGCGTAGCTTACACAAGTTTTACTGGTTCCGTGATTGCTTTTATAAGTTTCATGTCACTCGCTGTCAAAACAAAAGTTAGATCCTTATCCGTTATCTGTCAAGGTTGCTTGTGAGTCACGATATTCAGAGTGATGGAACCTCAATTAGTTCTAAACACTGATAACTAAAAGCACTCTGATCTCGTAGAAGACTTTTCGAAATATACGAACCATAAACTCATAAACGAACGTAATTTTAGAAAATAGAACGAACATATATTAATACTTAACGTACTTAAATAGACCGGTGGAAATAAGTTACATGTTCCTCATTGAACACTATCGTTAACGTTCAAAAACACTTTTCGCAAATTTTCTGAAATACCTATATAAATTTTGTTCTACCCCAAAAAACATTTTTTAACTGGATTGCATTGACTGGTCTATAATACGCACATACACACACGCTTACTCAAATTTGATTTAAAACGTAATTTTGGGATCATACACCGGGTTGTGTCACTTGGTACGCAGCTGTCAACTTGATCCGAGTTGGCTATGCTCATTCGCGCTGTTGCCACAGTTACTATGCTGACGTCATACAGCCGCAAGTGACACGACCTCGGCGTTATTTCTTTGGGATGAGCCAGAAAGCGAACACAACATTCGACAACATTGATTTTAGTTCAACACTTAGTCTCTTACGGAGCCTTTTGTTTTTTTCTATTTGTTTCTCGTTAATTTGCTGCACTCCCTTCCTACCACGCCCCATCCCAGAGTTGCAAAGAACAGCTGAGAGTGCTTCACAGCAAACTGTCAGCCCGAAATGAACGAATGAAGCAATTGGTTCAAAGAGGCACTCCTGACCTAGAGCCGTTAGGCACTTAGTCATCTCCTACCTATCCGACCTTACCAAACATCTATCCGACCTCAACACCTGTTTTGACAACCGACTGTCGACTATACAAAGATCTTCAATAGTCGCTCTTTAGGAAGAATATCTCCGAAACAAAATAAAGAAAAATCGACGATTTTTATGGAACAATCTGTTTAGAATAAAATTGTTTTTAAAGAGTAACCTTTATTTATGAAATATAAGTCTCGATGAGCCTTGTTATTTGTCTTTTTGAACAGAGATAGAACCGGGTTTTTTTTAATCTAGACATGGATAGGTTATATTCTGTTACGTTCTCATTGGGATAATTAAAAAATTATCTAACAGGGTTACCCAGGAAGATTTAGTAATTCCACCCTAATCTAAAAAAAAAACTACATATTTTATAAAAAAATGGAGCAACAGGTGTACGGATTTTATTGTTGTGCTCCATAACTTATTTTTAATATCGCAGTGCTGACAACGCCATTAAGTGTATCCAAGAGTCCATGCTATGGGGTACACCTATATGATAATAAAAAACCAAAATCCGCTCACCTGGCGCTGCGAAATTCATAGCTCTTAAACCTTCTCTGGAACATCTTCAAGTTAGGCAGCCATCATTACTTGACGTACAATAAGACAAATAGCAACCGTCATCTGGATACGGTGAATGCGCTAGTTATCTATTTTTCGGCAAAACTTTTACATATTCGATGCATTTCTTCATTTTTTTTGGAGGTGTCTTCATAAAGAGCGAAAATGACCAGAAAGATATGACAGCACACATACGATTTTGCCATCGTTCAGCCACCATCTTGAATCGCGATACCTTGTGATATACCGCGTTTACTGATTTGCATTATTGCTTCTGGTGAACAGGCATCTACCAGTCACCGTGTCAGCACACTGGTGAAGGAAATGCAACGATTGGACCCTTACGCTCCTGCAGAAGCCACTCTGTTGGAGGTGTCTTACGCTGACATTGCTGCGGGAAGGTCCAAGTCAGAAGAACGAGAGATGGTGACGGCAACCCTTGACTTAGAAAAGCCAGTTACACTCACCAGGCAATCTAAGCACCTAGAGCGCAAACAAGAGTTTGGAGAGGTAGAAACGGTGGCTGTAGAGAAGCTTCAAAGGAACAATCAGCATCCTAAGGATATTCCTAGAATCGTAGAACCCAAATTAGAACCTAAAGAGGTAGAGCTAGTGGCCAAAGATAAACTTCAAAAGAAGAATCAGCAACCCAAACCAGAACATGGACAGTTGGAAAAGATAGCTAGGGATAAGTCGCCTAGAAGAAGCCGATCGCCAAAAAGGAAGTCAAAGAAAGAACAGGCTGTGGAGGAAGCGCCAATCATTGTAGAGCCCGTTGAAGAATCTACCCAAGAAGCTTTGGGAGGGCGTACTAGTCAGGTTCCAAAGGAAAAAGCGTCCAAATCACAAAAAGCTTTGCATGTCCATGATAAGAAACGACATCGTTCGCCGAGTCCTCTGACCCTGTCTAGTCATGCAGAAAATCCGAAAGAACAAGTCCCAATACCACAAAAAGTTTCTGAGGAAGTACCAAAGGAACGAAGACTGATCTCCCAGTTGAGAGAGCAAACCCTAATTGTTCAAGAAAAGAAGCGCGACCGTTCACCTAGCCCTATGTGGTTACCTGGACAAACTTCCTACGCGGAGGTACTTAGGGGGCAGTACAGAACATCCGAGGAAAGAGAGGTTAACCAACCACCACCTCGTGCTGCAGCTCCACCAAGTGCTCAAACACCACCAAGCACCCAGGTGCCTCCAAGTGCTCCCGAGGTCATTCCTACATACGTTGCTCAAGAGCAAATCGTATACCAACCAGTAGCAACTGCTGTTGAATACAATGTTCCGCCTCAAGTAGAGCCTTACACAGTTCCTCCACAAGAGTTCATCATAACTCAGCCACAAGCTTGGAGCCAGTACCCTCCCCAACAAGGGTACTACCCCCAAGAGATGCCACAGGCTTTCTACCCCCCACCTATACAACCAGTCCAAGCGAATATAATCGAGTATGTTCAACCTATGCCAGATATGGTGAACTTCATAGCTTCAGGACAACAATTAATTAGTTCTGGTTTGGGTACTTACCAAAGTACTCCTGCACAATTCGCACCCCCATACCCTCCAGAAAATGCATATGAGTACCAAGAGGTCAAACCTGCTAACACAAAGCCAGCAGAGGAAGAACCAGTGAGCAAGGTAGAGACAAGTGAGGTGCCACCAACGGAAAAGACGATTGAACCAAGCGTTGCTGGATCACATGTCTCGTATGCTCAGATTCTGTCTCAAGGACTTGAAAGCAAACCAACCATCCAGCCATCCAGTTTGGCTCCAGTAAAACGAAAACCTGAACAAGCATCTCCGGTGTATGGAAACAAGTCCACGCACTTGGACGATACGAAAGTCAAAGAGACAGCTTCTCTTAAGGAGAAGATACCCAAGAAGACACATGACCGATCGCGTCCAAACGAATTTGGTCAGACGCACAAGCACCATGGAGAGCCTGTCAAAATGACAGGTGGTGCTGTAGCGACTGACAGCTCAAACGCACATGACTTAAACACTAGTGAAACTGTTTCCCCAGTTACAGATAAGAGAAGACGGAAGAAGTCTTCAGAAGACGAGATAGATAAAGCTTTGAAAGAAATATCGCTCAATGACCAAAAGCTGACTAAAAATAAGTCACAAGTTAAACATGAAGCAGATAAAAGTGATCTTTCTGAAGAAAACAGGACATCAGAGTTATCTGATTCAACTAGCTCAAAATTAGACAGGGTGATAGTATCCAAAAAGTCCAAGAAAAAGAAAGCTAAGAAAGGAAAGGAAAGTGAACACGAAATAGACGAAACAAAGGAAGTTAAGGTAGAGCTTTCTTCCGAAGAAACTACAGACAGGCCTGGGAGGAAGAAACCGAAAAAGAAGAAACCAACCGATGAAAATGACGTTGCAATTATTCAGAAAGCGGAAGAAACTGTTAGTAAGTCTGAGATGATGACGCCAGGAGACGTAACTATAATAGAACCAGCTGTAGTACAGCCTGGATTCGTAGAAAGTGAAAAGAAATTGAAGAAGAAAAAGAATAAAACTAAACCTGAAGCAGAAAATCTGAGGCACACAGAAGAGTCTGTATCTCAGTCAACAATGCAACAGGTTATAGAACTGGATAACAATCAGCAAACCGAAGACAAAAAGCGTAAGAAGAAGAAAAAGAACAAAGATAGGCAGCCAGAGGAACATGTAATTCCAACAGCAACAGAAGTTAAACCAGACTATAAGGAAGAAGTCTCGACCTTCATTGACACTGAAAAATCAGTAGTTGATGTCAGTGATACTAAAACTGGAGAATCGTTAACAGACTCAGTGGAAAAAAGCTTTGCAAAGTCTGTATCATCGAAAACTGCGCAAGAGACGGTTCGTGAAGTGGCCGCGGAAGAAAAAGTACTTACTTCGAGTACTACCAGTATTGAAACTGATGAACAACAAGCGTCTAAGAAGAAACAGAAGAAAAAGCATAAGAAGAAACAACCTCTCGAAACGAAGCCAACTCCTGCTTTTGTTATAACTGAAGAGATTAGGAAGATTCCTGATGAAGATGTAAAACCACAAGAGATACCTGTGAAGAAGAGCAAGAAGAAATATGTCAAGAGGTCTAACGCTGAATTTATTGCTAAAGAAATTAGTGAAATCACTAAACAAAAATGTATTGAAACAGAAGAACAGAAGACATCTATTCCTATACATGGACTTGAAGACGCCAAACCTGTACAAGCTCAAGAAACTGTTGAAAATGTTGAACAGTTAAAAGAGCAATCCCCTATATATAAGGTTACCGAAGAAATAATAGAAAATCAGGTCTCAGAAGCCATTAATATTGATCAACCTAAACCTGAAAAGAAATTGACAACTATTTCCTCAAGTGAGGCCAGAGCTATACCAAGTGATCATGCTAATGAGGAAGGTTTGGTAGACGAGAGAAAATATGTTGATGAAACTTTGATTCAAAAAGTGACAGCAAGTGACGATAAAACTACTGTTGGACTTACGGAACAGAAAGAAAATAAAAAGAAGAAGGAAAAACAGAAAAAGAAGTCCGCAGTGAGGTGTGACAGTGCAGTAAATGGTCAAAAAGAAACTGGGCAGAAATCAGAGACTGGATCGTTGATAAGTGACTTGAGCGGAACTAAAACACAAACCGTGGAAGAGGTTACCAGAGATTCAACATCAATCATCACAGATCAAGAAAAAGATACGTCAGAATGGACTTTGACTACAGTAGAAGAAATAAATAAAGAAAATAGAAGAAAATCTAAGACAACTACTACCGTCACTACAGTTACTAGTATAACTAAAACGACGCCTTCAACTACTGACAATATCACTATGCCTATTATGTCCCAAGGAGGTGTGTCTAGCCCATCTACGACTGTTGCTGCAACGAATGGAGCTTCAGAAAAGTGCATAATGTCGGACAAGCCAGAAACAGATGCCGATCGTCAAAAAACAGCTGAATTAAAGGATACAACTAAAATAGTATTTATAACTCACGAAGAAGTAAGGATGAAACCGGTTGTAACTTTGAAGATGGAGTTTGTTGAAACTCCGATTGAAGAGACTGCACGTACTGAAGAGGCATACGTCGAGGAAGATAAAACTACTACAAAAGATACTCGCAACATCACCAAAGTCACAGAGATATCAGGTATTATAGAACCAACTAGTAAAGAAGAATCAGAGCTAAACGGATTTGATACCAGAAACATAACTAAACAGTTCATATGCCATGAAACTCAGATCCTCAACGGAAACGAAGATATAACAGATTCTGAAGAATGGAAAGACATCGAAATGGAGCAAGTAATATTTGGTTCAGTTAAGGAGCGACCAAGAAAGATAATAGAATACAAATACATACCAGAAAGTGAGCCAGAAAAGCAAGAAAAAGGAACACGCTGTGATGAAGACGATAAGTCGAAGAAACGGCAAGGCATACCTTTGGACGACTTACTTCAAGGTGAACCGGCTGAGAAACTTGACATATCTTCAAAAGAGGTTGAAGTCTGTCATGAAGAGACGTCACTGACAAGGCTTGACTCTGTGGTTGACACAGAAATCACGAATCTAGAGGACGTAATGAACGTTTTGGAAAGCCGAAAGCAAAAGAAAATTCGCAGTAACAAAACGGAAGATACTGCAGGGGAATCCTCAGTAGAAGCGGATGTAGATGAACCAAAGACTATAAAAGTAGAATACAAAGGTTTGCCCATAGATGAATCTACTTGCATATTCGACATTTTAGATGAACCTGTTACAATTTCAGATGACGAAACAGAGTCAGTCAGTAAATCGACGAGAAGAGATGTTATTCAAGATGAGCCAACAAAATCAAAAGTGCAAAAAGTCGACAATGAACCGAAAATTGTAACTAAAGGTGCTTCTGTAGTAGATACTAAGCTTTTGCAAGTAACAGACGATGCATACCCTATTTCAGATGAAGAGTTAGTCGAAAACGATGCAAGAGATGTTGTAGAGAATATTCCCAAAATACCGTCGAATACTGATATCAAAACTTGGGCTAGTATCGTCAATGAAGCACCAAATGTGGAAGAATCCACAGCAGGCAAACAAGCAGCAGAATGCGAAAGAAATGTATCTTCACCTGAAACGAGTGAATTCAAGGAAGACACTAAGAAAAGTAAAAAGAAGCATAAGAAGAAGAAACAGCAACCAAAAGATGAAGAGCCGGTAAAAGAGATTAAAATGATATCTGAAGAAGTAAAACAAGAGGACGTTACAGAGTCACATACGAGTATCGTAGAACAGTCAGTTGAGGCAACTGACACTGGAATTGCAAATATTCTGGATCAGCTGAAAGAGGAGACATTGTCTAAGTATAAGCCTGACTTAGACAGCATACCCGATATCAAGCGAAAACCAACTAGTTTGCCACAAACACCTGCGCAACCAGAAAAACCTTGTGTAAAAGAACCTAAGGGTAAGACAAAGAAAGAAAAAGTACCGAAAAAGGAGAAAACACCGCCGATAAGTATCGAGATTCCATCTCCATCAGTAAGTATTGAGCAGGAAAAAATGGAGTCACCTATAATTGAAGTCAAAGAGACTTCTCCAGTATTGTCGCCAACTGCTGTAACATTTGAAACGTTGCCTGTGATACCACAGTCTCCAGAAAGGCCACTGCCAGAGATAAACTATCTAGAAGCTTCTGGATCAGTTGAGCTATCTGTAGCGAAAGATGAACCTCAAAAAGAGAACATAACCGACTTACTGCACAAACTTAAAGAGGAGACACTGGCAAAATACAGTGTCTTAGAAGATGAGACAAAAACTAGTACAGAAAATGATGTAGCTTGTAAGAAACCGAAGAAGTCTAAGAAAAAGGGAAGTCATAAGAAGACAGTGTCATTCGAAGAAACACCTCAGGTTATAGGTTACGCAGAAGATACCATTCAAATAGAAGAGAATGGCATCAAGGATGGTTCAGAGGTGACTGAAGAGTTTGTCGTAGTTTCTGCCGAAGAAACTAAAAAAGGATTCGCGGAACCTGTGGTTGATGAAGATACTGCAAAAATATCTGAAACCATAGATGATATTGATGCCACTAAAACGGTCAATGAAGAATTTATTAAGGAAGAGCAAGGTAATGCAAAAAAATCTAAAAAGAACAAGTCCAAAGGCAAACATGCCGCTGAAGATGAGCAACTGGAGTCTGTTTCTGTGGCCGTCGACATTATTGACACTGTAGTAGAAAAATCAGAAAATCAGCAAGATGGGGGTGAATCGAGGAAGAAGAATAAGTCGGAAAAAAAACAAAAGGAGCAACCAAAAGATGTGAACGAAAATGTAAGGGAATCAGATATTAAACAGAATGAAATGGAGACATCTCAACTTAGTAAATCTTGGGCAGCAGTTGTTGGTACGAAAGATGACGTTACTGCAGCTTTTATCGAAGCAGAAAAATTGGGTTCACAGAAAGAAATGCTTACTGAATCATTTGTCGAAGTGTCACACGATCAAGCTAAGCCAGAATCGCCAGACTTGACCAAAGATTTCGAAGTTGTTGAAAAACCAGAAGAATCGCACGTTGAAAGTAAATCGAAAAAAGGCAAAAAACAAAAAAATAAAAAGGATGCCATATCTACGCCCAAGGAAGGCTCCAGTGTTCTAGTTGAAATTGATGAAACCGTCATAGATACTCAGTCTTCCTGGGCCAACGTTGTCAAATCGAACCTAGAGCATCAAGAATACGTTGTCGAGGAAAAATTAGTCAAGACAGAAGAAGAAACAGTTGCGTCAACAGTGCAAGAGTCCGCATCTACCACAGAAGGCAAAGGTAAAGATGATAAGAAATCTAAAAGAAAGAACAAAAAGAAATCGCGAACAGAAGACAAATCAAACGAAACCTTTGAGGTTACCGAAGAAATTGTCAAAATCCCTGAAAAAGTCGAGACAATAAATACATCCAACGCTTCTACGGAACATAACAGATATAAAGAGGACTTGCCTGTTGAAGACAAAATGCTTGATCAACAAGCCATAACGGATACTGATGTAAATATAGAAAGCTATGAGATAGTATCTGAAGTTAAGTCGGAAGATGTACAAAATAACTTGACAATGACCGAATCTTGGGCTGAAGTTACACGGAAACATCTCAAAGATTTACCTCAAACTGTGAAACTAGTTGAAACCGAGTACAAAATAGAATCTGTAAATGCTGCAGAAGAATCTCAAAAGCCTGTAAAGGAAACTCAGCATATGTCTAGTGACAACGACGATCATGACGAGGGTAAAAGATCAAAGAAAAAGAAGAAACAAAAGAAAAACAAACACGACGAGGAACCTGCAAAGCCTGCCTTCACGATTACTGAAGAGATTTTAGAAATACCTCAGCGTGAGGCAGAGGAAACGTCTGCGCCACCTAAGAAAGAATCAAAGAAGAAACATAAGAAAGATAAGACCAAAGTTCAACAACTTGAAGAAAAGGATGAAACGATAATACCGAACGACAAGACTGTTGGAGCAGTTCTAGATACTGTGGTCACTGAGCACATAAAGACAGAAACGGTAGAAGTAGAGCAACAACTGAATGAAACTGTAGAAGAACGCAAAAAGTCCAAGAAGAAGGATAAGAAACATAAAACTGAATACAGTTCTCTGTCTGAAACTGTACCTCACATAGCTTCGAACGTAGAGCAAGAAGAAAGGATAGAAGAAAACGTTTTAATATCAAAAACAATGCATCCTATACAAATATCAAGTGAGCAAGCAACAAAAGTCGATGACGAAACGAAATCAACACTGGAGTCATGTGAAGTTAAAGGCTTCACTGCAGAGTTTCTGTTTCAAGAGAAACTACAGCACTTCGAAGTTGAGAGACATCTGACTGATCGTCCGGATTCGTCAGCAACTTTGACAACAGAGATATTAGACGATATTTCTATGGAAGATCGTGAAATTGAAGAATCCAAGGCTCCTGTTGCTACGCCACATCTTGATTTACTGAGAGAGGACTCTCAAGTGACAGACAAAGAGGATTTAGATTTTACCATTACCGAAGAAGAAATAAAAGCAAAAAGTATGATGGCTCAGTTTTTGGAACAAGAAAAAATGCTGTATGCTTGCGTACATGTCGATCAAAAAGTTCCAGCAGAAACAGTTTCAACTGTAGATGAAAAGAAAGTTGAATACAAAGGTCTACCAGTTGATCAGACTACTGACTTATTCATCGACTTATTGGATGGTGAGGGTATGTCATTTGAAGATGATGACTCTGCTCCGGAAACGAAGCCGGTTGTTGAGAATGTTGAACATAAAGTTGTGGAAGAAACGGTCCCAATACAAGAAGGCCCCAAAATCAAGGAGTACAAAGGTCTGCCTATTGATAAGTCTACTGATTTGTTCCTTGAAGTAATTGATGAAACTGGAATGTCATTCGAAGACGAGGAATCTGTCTCTGTTGAAACCAAATCTGCTCAACCAGAAGCAACTATGACTGTAGAGAAGGCAAAAGTTGAATATAAAGGTCTGCCCGTTGATAAGACTACTGACTTATTCCTTAACGTCCTTGATGAAGGAGGTATGTCATTTGAAGATGAAGAACCAGTTTCTGTTGAAACGGAACCTGCAAGTGAAAATAGCGCACAACCAGAAGAAACTTCAACGATAGAAAAGACGAAAGTTGAATATAAAGGTCTACCAGTTGATAAAACTACTGATTTATTCCTCGATGTCCTTGATGAAGGAGGTATGTCCTTTGAAGATGAAGAACTCGTTTCTGTTGAGACCAAACCTGCAACTGAAGATAGCGTTCAACCGGAAGAAACTATAGTAAAAGAAAAGACGAAAGTTGATTATAAAGGTCTACCAGTTGATAAAACTACTGACTTGTTCATCGATATCCTTGATGAAGGAGGTATGTCATTTGAAGACGAAGAACCAGTTTCTGCTGAAATCAAACCTGAAATTGAAATTAGCGCACAACTAGAAGAAACTACATCGATAGAAAAGACGAAAGTTGAATATAAAGGTCTACCAGTTGATAAAACTACTGACTTGTTCCTCGGTGTCCTAGATGAAGGAGGAATGTCACTTGAAGACGAAGAACCAGTTTCTGTTGAAACCCAGCCTGCGTCTGAAGTTAGCCCTCAACCACAAGAACCTACAACGGTAGAAAAGACGAAAGTTGAATATAAAGGTCTGCCTGTTGATAAAACTACTGACTTATTCCTCGATGTCCTTGATGAAGAAGGAATGTCATTTGAAGACGAAGAACCAGTTTCTGCTGAAACCCAACCTGCGTCTGAAGTTAGCCCTCAACCAAAAGAACCTACAACGGTAGAAAAGACGAAAGTTGCATATAAAGGTCTACCAGTTGATGAAACCACTGACTTGTTCATCGATATTCTTGATGAAGAAGGTATGTCGTTTGAAGATGAATCGCCGAAAGGAGAAGAATCCAAATCAAATGAAGCAACCAACACAGTTCCTCTTGTTACGGAGTCAGTCGAACAAGAGAAAAAAGTGGAATACAAAGGCCTACCTGTCGACCAATCTACCAACTTGTTTATGGATGTCTTGGATCAGGATATCACGTGGGAAGACAGTGAAGATGAATTTGAGATTCAAACTAGAGACAAAACAACTAAATACGAGGAAATAACCAAATCTGTTATCCATGACACCACTGAACAAACACAAATTGACACCATCACAAATGTGGGAAAAGAGGTTACTTCTGAAGGTGACATTGTCAAAAGTGATGTAGAGGAGATGCAGCAATATAGTACGATGAATATCGGGATTTCAGAGCCCCAACAGCCTAAACTTTTTTATGAATCTCCGAAATACGACATACTACGTTTACTCGAAGCTGAAAATAAGTTCTATGAGCAGAAATATGCCACAGCTAGACAAGAAAAGGAAGAAGCTGTGTCTTCTAATGAACCCAGTGAATTGGAAAGTAAAATCAAAGTTGAAGAACCATCTATTAAGTATGATATCATCTATCTGCTCAGAGCTGAAGCTGAATGGTATGAAAGAATGAATCTTCAAGACAGACAGCAACAGCAACAGTCTTCGGTTCCAACAGCTTCAGAAACAGATAGACCAACTGAAAATATAGCACCTTCTATTGAAGCTCAACATGTTCCGACAAAAACACATACTGACATGGATAGTACCTTTATTACTGAAGAAGTCAAGCAGCTTGAACTCCAGACTGCTAAAGAAGTAGATGCTGAACCACAAAAAGAAGCTATAGTCGAAGATACTACACCAGATATAGCACCCACCCTTCGACCACACGCAGAAGATACAGCTAGTAACACTGTTCCATCTGAAGAAGTAAGCACATCTACAAACGAATTCTCTGAAGTTATGTCTTCAGTTGTAGAACAGACTATTGACATTGAATCAGAGCAGTCTGAAAAGATGGTACCTTCTATCGAAGCTCAACATGCTCCAACAAAATCCCATGCTGATATGGTTAGTACGTTTATTACTGAAGAAATCAAGCAGCTAGAGCTCCAGACTGCTGAAGTAGTTGATACTGCACCAGATGTAGCACCTACCTTTATACCAGAAACAAGAGATACAGATAATGAAACTGTTCCATCTGAAGAAGCAAGCACATCTGCAGAAGAGTTCTCTAAAGTTACATCTTCAGTTGTAGAAGAGACTATTGACACTGAATCAAAGCAGAGTATGCTCAAAGACGAAGAAGTAATGAAGTTCTCCGAACAGACGAAAGACACAGAAACTGTTGCTAAGAAAGTACATTCTCAATTTGAGGCAATCTTAGAAAAAGCTACGGAATTCATCCCAAAGTCAGCCATAAAATCTGAACTCTCAACAGATGCAACTGAGTTTGTTCCCAAAGGAATGGAATATTCAAGGCTGAACCCAAATGCCGCGGAATTCATACCTGGATCTCTGGAAAAGAAGGCGACTCCAGAGTATGTTGACTATGCACATGCTTACAAATCACCCAAGGTGTTGCCAGATACCCCTGCTTGGGAATACAGTAAAGACGCTTGTAACATCCCTGTTGCTCAAGAACACTACGATCCATGCTTCGAAATCCCACCAGATCATGCTAGCAATGAGTGGGTGAACCAGATGCTTCACGAACCATCCGAAGAATTCTTGATTCATCAGCCGAGCGAAAAGGCTGCACATGCCATCGCAGATTTAGAACAAAAGCAAATAGAAGAAAGTCTTCTACCGAGAGAGGTTGTCTCAGAGCTGAAGACTAGCGGCATAACAGATACTCATACGACCATATCTTGGACAGGTCAGGGAGAACCATCTCACTGGAAAATTGAAAGCGAGCAACTAAAACCACCAAAATCACCTCGCAGGAGGAAATCGAAATCGCCGAAACCGCAACAGAAAGCGCAAGAACAAGAGAGTGAACCATTCTTCTATGTCGAACCAACTACAGAGTCTACAAATGTATGGGAAGCTCTGCAGAGAGGCGACAAAACTTATGCGGATGTTGTAGCAACAGGTTCTCCTGAGAGAACGCCAGATATCGAAAGAACGAGTCCAGTTGAATCACTAAAAATTAAACCTGAAGACGTTGTTAGTACTGACAAGTCGGCAGATGAGCTTCAGGTTGAAAGTCCTAAGAAAAACAAAAGAAAATCTAGGAAACGAAGTAAGTCGCCAAGACTGACAAGTGATGAAGTACACGAAGCAACCGAAACAAACGAAGATGAAATTAAACAAGATGTTGGAATAGTTCCTGAGATAAGACAGCAAACTGTACACGATGTTACAGTAACTGAAATTGAACAAGTGACACCAGAACCTGTAGTCCAAGGAGGTCAAATGACTTGGGCGAAAATAGCTGCCACTCCTAGTAGAGAAGCATCTCCAAAACCAAGGCAAAAACTCGATAAAGAACCCTCTCCCAGACCTAAGGTTCAGTCTACTACAGTTGTTCCAAAAACGACTACCACTGCTGAAAGGGCTGGAAAGAAAACTCGTCAAAAGGACAAGGATCTTTCGAAAGATGTCAAAGAGCCTTTGGCAGTTTCTGACAGGGTGACAATGTCTGGTGATGCTACCCCATCTGATGTTACTGAATTCGGAAAATCAGAGGAGCAGATACAAGGTTCACCTGTTGAGTCAAATAAAGAAACCGCTGAGCCTCCAAAAAAACAAAAAAAGAGGAAAGAAAGGAAAGTTAAAGAAGCCATTGAAGAACAATCAAAGAAAGAATCGGTGTTAGTGTCAGAAATTACAACTGATGAAAATGTGCTAACGGAATCTGTTGACACATCTGAGCAACTTTCATCATATGCTGGTATCCTTGGAAGTAAGCCCAAGCAAGATCTAACTCCCGAGCCAAAACAGGGAAATGAACAAATATTTCCAGAAGAAACTCCTGGATCAGTAAAAGAAATTGTCTCTGGGTTTTTGCAAGCAGAAATCAAAAATCAATCTATCGAGCCTCCTGTCGTTGTCACTAAAGTCGATGAGAAAGTTGATATCACTAAAGCGCAGAAACCAAAAGATGTAAGTGCTGACTCAACTCTCTGTGTTGAAGAAATTTCTGTTTCTGAACCAGCATTTGATAAGAATGTGTCATCATCGTATGCTGGGATAGTTGGAAAGAAGTCAAAACATGAATCTCCAATTCCTACACATATGACAGAAACCCCATCAAAAGTGTCCAAAATGGATGTCCTTCCTGACAAAGGATCGAAAAAACAGAAACCTAAGAACCTTTCTCCACCACCAGAAATTTGTAAGCAAAAAATTCCAGAAAACAAAGAACTGGTAGAACAAAAACCTATCACGCAACCTGCAGCTGAAGATCAACATGTAGAGCACGTATCAAGAAGACCTAACGCTCAACCTATAATCATCAACACAAGTGAAGCGGAACCGCCTGTACAACATATCGCAATACAGGACATTGATTTGAGTCGTCTCACATATGCTGATGTCACAAGAACTGGCAGAAGCCGGAGCTCTTCACCTCATCCTTCTACTATCACCACAATAGCAGATAAGATCAACTTAAGGAAAGATAGACTTAGCAGTGAGTCTCCAAATAGAGTTCAAGTTGACAGATTCAAAGATTCAGTAAAACAGCCAGTAGAAGATACATTCGCTAGAGATCGAACTAAGGTTGAAGGATTACCTTCCAAGAGTACCATACTTTCACCCACTGAGCAACATACGATAAAGGAAACCACTACAACAAGCTCTGAGCCAGAAGCAGAAAGCTTAGAAAAAACTGAAAAAAGGTACAGAAAGAAGAGTAGAAAATCCAGAAAGCCTAGAGATTCAAACCTGCCTGATACTGGAGAACATCCTGCAAGAGAGAAAGAACCACATTCATCTAAAGCAACCAACATTCAGGAACTTGTTGATAACGTTGAACTGGCAGCTACTCCTGATTTACCAAGTAGTACTCAAGTCGTTGAGAAAAGCAAAGAACTGAAACCTTCAGAAGAAACATTATCCAGTCCAAGAGATGACTCTCCTACAAAAAGCTGGGCTTCAGTTGTCAAGGTGTCTTCTACAAAACCTGACGAATTAAACGAAATTGAAGAAACCAAAAATGTGACAACTGGTTCTGAAGTAGAAACAAGTGATGCTGCAGAAAAGAAACGAAAAAAGAGAAACAAAAAGTCAAAGCGAGTATTATCCAAGGAATCAAGTCATCCTGGAAATGATACCGAGGACGAGCACGTGGCTAGTGATATTGGACAGAAACAAACTACTCCTGATTTATCAAGTGTTACTGTTGATCAGACTATTGAGGAAATCAAAGAACAAATACCTCCAGAAGATATCGCAGTGAAGAGAGATGAATCGCCTACAAAAACGTGGGCTTCTGTAGTCAAAGTCTCGTCTACAAAATCTGACGACGAAATAACTGAAGAAAAAGCACCTTCACAGTTGGAGTCAACTAAAATCGAAGTTAGCTCAACAACTAAAGAAGTAACGACAGGTTCAGAGGCTGAAGCAGATTATAATGTAGAAAGAAAGCGGAGAAAGAAAAATAAAAAGGCAAAGAGGATATTACCTGATGCATCAGGTTTATTACAACCCGACGACAAAGAAGAATTCAATGTTAGAAACGCTGCCGGTAAGCCTTTAGCTGATAGTAAAGAATTCCTAATTTATGAAAAAGCTGCAGCTATCGCTACCACTCAAGAACAAGAAGAACGTGTTTCATCTATGGAAGCAGAAGAGCAACAAGCAAAGTCTTCTCAAAAGTCGGAGCTGACTGCTCATGAAGAAGTAAAATTAATAGAGGCTGAAACAGTTGTTGAACAAGTATCATCTCCTCCAAAAGTTGAAGATGCTGAATTGTTCGCTTTAGAAAAAGACGAAATACAACAAATTCCAGAAACTACGAACGTATTACAAACGACAAACCAATATGGCCAAGATATTGTAGAAACAGTAAACACTGTAGCGATAGAAGAATTGACACCTCCTCTAAAAGTATATGAAACTAATGAAAATGATGACGTACATCGAGTTTCAGAAATTATTGTAGAAGAACAAACTATAAAACAGCATGATCAAGATACAGTTGAAGCAGAAAAACAGTTGAATTTCGGTAGTCAGGTTGCTGCTGAAGAGACTGTAAACGCTGATGAAAATGCTAGTGAAATAGAAAAATTGAAACAAACGCTAGTTGAAATACGGCAACAAGAAAGAATGATGGATCTAATAATAGAAAATGCAGCGAAACAAGAAACTGCAACAAATGAGGAATTTTTAACGCATTTGAAACAGCACGAAGATAGAATAGCTGAAGAAACGGTTGACGTAATGGACTCTGTGATCATTCCTCAAATTTCTGTGGTGATCACACCGAACGTTGAAGAAATCGAAAGACCTTGGGAATTTGAGGCAAGTGGACCTGTTGTGAAAGAAATAGATACGAGTCGACAAAAGACTACGGAAACTGTAAAACTAGAAGAAGAAAAGAAATTGGACATAGCAGAGAGCAAAGAAAAATCTCCCTTAGAAGCGCTAGTGGAAAATATTTCTATGGACGATTCTATCTGGTTGACCAAATCCATATACGAAGAATGCGAGTCAAATTGGCAGATAAACTTGGCTGAACAACGTATCCAAGAGATATCTAAGGAATCTAGCTCAACAGACGATGTCATTGAAGAACACATTTATATGGCAACTACAGATATCGGTCAACTGGCCCACAACTTGACCTTAGACTCATTCTGGCTTACCAAAAGTATCTACGATAAAGCGGAAGAACAGTGGCAAGAGGAAATGGTACAAAAGAGCAAAGGACAAGCTGGTGGTGACAGCAAGAAACCTTCAGACCGATCACCAGAAGACGACGGCGACGATTCTGACAGTTCAAGTGGCAGCAGATCCCCTTCGAACAAACCTGATGGTGAAGGCACCCTCAAAGCACCTGGTAGTGAATACATGATGTACACTTTGCCGGGAGGTATAGCAGGGTGGAAAGAAACTAGCACTTACTTATCGCCTGAACCCCTTAACGTAACTTTAACTGACATACCTTTGACTGAAAGTATTGACGCTACCCCAAGTTCCTCGATATCCCTCGGACCTGAGCAGCAATCAACGAGCTTAGCAGTAGGTGGTGAGGCCAGAGATGGGGACCAACAGGCCAAGAAGAAGGGGAAATGGTTCAAGAAGGTGAAAATGAATTGTGTGATTTGTCTGGGTGTTCAAACGTTTTGCATGTCGTTGCTTAATGTTGCTTTCTTAGTGATATTTAACGTATTCTGGGCACTGCTGGTTATATTATGTTTTATGGTGTACGTAGCGTAATATATCTATAATATTCTGCTTTAATTAATTTTCTGTATACGAGAGGTAAGTTTGCATGATATTGGGATACCTCTTGCAATATAGTATACTAAGTGACATATAAATCCGAACACCCAGTTTAAATGGTTTCGGCACACATTACGGCCTGCGGACGTTGATTAAATGCATGTTTTTATTTCGCATTGATATGCATTTCTCTTAGTAATATTAATCCATAAAAACTTCAACACAAACCCCTTGAAGCTTGATCTTAATTATTTAAGGGAATGCCAGAAGGCAGCAATTCTCGGTAGCTGTAGTTGTTTAACTAACTTTGCCTCTGGCTGACCTGAGGATTAATCAAGAATACCAGAATACCTGTGAAGCAAAAAAAATAGACGTCCTTAAGAGAATTACAAAATTACAGAGAACTGATTAGCGAATTTTAGCATTTGCCACTCTTACACTTAACCGATCAGTCCATAAATCACAAGCCAATGCTTACTAAAAAAGATACAGCGCTGCAATGATATTTACAAAAATATATATGGTATATTCATGATCAAACGATTGCTGAAATTAACAAAAGTTTAACTTTTTCACGGAGCACGAAGCGAATATTTTTTATATGCGTCAGGAATTCCATTACATCTTACGGCAACATTATATACTAAGTGACATATAAATCCAAACACCCAGTTTAAATGGTTTTATTTTAATAAAATTTTGTATAAGTACTTAATGAAGCATAATAAGTAAATTTCAAAATGATTGCACTGCTTTAAAGCCCTTTGACCTTTAATAATGTGTGGATGCACACTGATGTGCTACGCATTCTCCAACGCGCCTAGGCATGCTTCTGATCAGGTGGTCAATATCCTACTGTAGTATCTCATTCCAGGCAACCACCAACTCCTCTCGAAGTGCTTCTAGAGTCTGAGGAGGACGTTGCAAATTGAGCAATCTCCTACCCATCATATCCCACACGTGCTCAATTGGGGATAAGTCGGGAGATCTTGGTGGCCATGGTAACAATGTGACATCATTATGTTGAAAGAAGTCTATTGTGACTCTTGCAACATGTGGTCGGGCATTATCTTGTTGGAAAGTTGGATCTGCCAGGGTGTCAAGATAGGGTAAAAGATGGGGTTCTAGAACTTCGTGGATATAACGCTGCGCGTTCATGTTACCTCTGATGAAGATTAAAGGTGACCTGGAACCATAAGCTATAGCACCCCAAACCATAACTCCAACAGTGTGATGAACATGTCTTTCAACAAAAAACTGTGGATTCCTCCTTTCACCACGTCGCCTTCTAACCCTGGCACGACCATCGTGCATGCCTAAACAAAATCGAGACTCGTCACTAAAGACAATACTGTTCCATTCCTGATCCCAGAGTGACCGTTGTCTGCACCACTCAAGGTGATTACGTCGGTGTTCTCGAGTTAAAGGGAGGACCCAGTGTGGCCGGTATGAAAACAAGCCAAAACTTCTCATTCGTCGGTAAACACTTCGCATGCCAATAGGTCTTCCGTGTTCTGCAAACCATTCATTTGCACTGGACCTGGTAGTGGAGAAACGGTCCCTTAAGGCCAATAATCTTAGGCGGCGATCTTCACGGTCTGTTGTTCTACGGCGGCGTCCAGTGCCCCTTGCTCTTTGCGTACGGCCTTCTCGAAGCCATGCCTGACAACACCTAACCACAGTGTCTACACTTCTTTGCACTCTAACTGCAATTGCCCGAAAAGAAAGTCCAGCTTCCCGAAGTCCCACTATACGGCCCCTATCAAACTCACTAAGTTGAGAAATCGTACAGGTCTCCGTATCGTAAAGGATGTCAAGAACCAAAATCCGCCAACGTTGATTATTTACTGCGGCTGAAATATTCATTTTTAGAGCGCTGGTGAATTAAAAAAAAAGCAGTATAAAAACCGGAATGTCCAACTGATAAGGCTGAAAATTTTTTAACTTGTTATTTACAGTACATTCACCAACTTTTATTAAAATAAAACCATTTAAACTGGGTGTTCGGATTTATATGTCAGTATATATGCAATATTCAATGTTGAATAGAACATAGTTTAGATAGTAGAAATGCTCCTGAAAGTACAAATACAGACATTGATATTTGTATATAATTATCATATTTTTGCATGCCTTCCGGTGAATTCATTAAATACGAGGTTTATTATTCTAGATTTTATGTTATTTTTCATTTGTACAAAGCTTTCCTGACTTTGTCTACTGCTTGTAGAATCATCTATCACCAATCCAGTAGTTTATTTTTATAACATATCTGTATTCTGTTATTGTCTTCTATTTGAAATATGTATCATTTTTAATTAGACATTTTTATGAAAAGAATGTGCAATGCGAATGTGCAAAGTATTTGTGCATTTAATTAAATGTAAGATCGTAATGACGAATATCGTAAGCAGTGGATGATGTTAGTTTGAATGTGCATATCATAGAATGTAGAAAGGACCAATTTTTTACGCGTTGTTTTCTCTCAACAGGATCTTACAGACGAAGTTGAAAGACTGCAAGTTTCTTTAATATCTACAGAAAGTACGATCGAGTATTTGCCGAAAGAAAGTTTCGAAGACATGATCAATGCTTTAGAGGTAAGTTTTTTCAAATATTTGAAACCTCTCACATCCCAGATTTGTTACTAATAATAATGATGAAAAATCCTTGGCGTACGCCGTTCATGGTTATAAAAACATAATACCGTAAGTAGTATTAAATTGGTCAATGTCATTTTGCTCTTGAATCACGTCTTTAATTCACTGACCTTACCAATAAGGATATTGCCATCTGTGAGAGTAATTATAGGTTTCTTGATTCTACGATCTACTAGAAAGAGGATATATAATTATAATCATGATGGTAAATCACGAATTATTTTTGTCAAATTTGTAGTAAAAAAACCAGCATTTTCAAATGTCTCCGACAGACACCCAGCTGGAAAAAAAAATCGCGTCAGTCATAATGGATCATATTCGGCATAAGTTGGCTACGAACATGTGCAACAAAGAGTTTACGAAAAAATATACAGGGTGTTCATCAAGTGTGTACAATAAATTTAACATACGATTTGAGTAATTTGAAAAAATGTTCAAATAAACAATTTCTTCGTTCTCAAGATTCAGGGTGTTGAAATTTAAAAAAAAATGTGTTTGCATGAACTATTGTTTATCCAGTAGTACTTGAAAATTGTAATTAAAGCATATTTTTCATTATATGTATACTCGTATATTATATTTTATAGGATTTGTTATGCTCTTTCCGGGTAATATTAAGAAGGTATACCGTCGTGTTTGAAATATTCGGATTAATCCAAAAAAATAGTGACACATCAATGAAACTTTATCTAGTGGCGACAACAACTCGCCAGAGGCGTAGGAAGTAAAACTGTTCCAATCAAACGCAAAAATCGTTCAAGATGGAGTTCATTGTGGGACAAAATGTTCATAATTATCGTCCTTTGATACAGAAAATAAAACTTGATTATGAATATGAAAAAGTTGTGAAAGAACATAGGTTGAGTATGAACTACAGTATATTCAGATAAGAGATAGACCGGACATAAACAAGACCACGTGATCATCGAACGCTGTAACATTCGGCAGGGACGTATTAAGAGTCACGCAGTGCATATTTTAGATAGTAGATGCTGCTTTGCGTAACTCTGTAGTAAATTAGCACAATTCTATGTGTATACGATTGGTGATGGATATAGGATCATGTGGGGGTGGGGTAAGAAATATATAATGATGTAAATATACATAAGGGTTTCAAAATTTTCGCTTCGATTTCCAGCTTCGGATGCCGCCTGATGTTTGGTGAAATACAGTCGAATGTAATCTCAAAATGGCGTTTAAATTAGCCTAAATTAAAAATAATCGTATATCTCTTAAAATTGCTTTTAGAATATTGATTAGTATATTTTTTGATTTCTAGGTAAATATGTAACCAAATTAAAACGTTCAAAACGTAAAAAAATGTGCATGGTTGAACATTGTCAGAAAGTAGATTCTTGAATAGGTTTTGCCAAAATGGGTTCAAAAATGTCAATAATTAATTAAAAAATACAGTAGCTTTATAATTACTTATAACTTACCGAATTTGATGAACGACATCTTTTATTGGAAAGATGAGCTTGATGAGCTTTCATCATCGCTACTGCCTGAAGCACCAACGTCAATAATGAATGGCTCGACTTGTTCCTCTAAAATATTGTCCAGTTCCCACATTCTCTTTTCAACTTTGTCTTTCACGTGCTTAATACAGTTTTCCCCTTTTTTGCGCTGTTATTAATTCTAGTGCTTCTTTGAAAAGTCCTTTGAGGTCACAAAATTTAAAAGTTGTATTGTGCTTAGCTATATAATTTTTAACCTCTGCCCATATGAGCTCAATGGGATTGAGCTCGCAATGGTATGGAGGTAAACGGAGCACAGTTTTATTTTGACTTGCTGCCATTTCGTCAATGGCGTATTTTTGATATTCCGCCTTGTGATCCTTGACAATTCTTAATAATTGTACTTTCAGCATTGCTTCTTCAAAGTTGATATTTTTCGAGCGGAGCCAATTTTGAACATCAACTTGCCGTTGTTGGGACCTTCTCCATTCTTCGAGAATGATAAGGCGCATTATCCAACACAATTACTGCGTTTTCCTCTAAGTTCGGTAAAATTTTTGAAAACCACTGTTCATACGATTCGCCATTCATTTCCTCGTGGTAATCTCCAGTTTTCTTAGACTCAAAGCACCACAGACCGTCAACAACAAATCCATCCTCACTGCCAATATGGCAGATAATGAGCCTTTTCCCTTTACCTGGAAATCGAAGTACTAACTGGTGTAGATTTATTTCAATAAGCGAACCTTTTTCAAATGTTTTCATCACATTCAGCGAAAAAACATTGAGACATGAGTATCAGATTGCTATAATTGGGATTATTTAGTCATATTGAAAGAAAGAATATTGAACGTCGTATGATTACTCAGCGCTTCACAATTTAATTTAAAGTTATAAACCTTTAAAAAATGAATGATCAGGAACCTGAAATACGCGCAAATATTAATATTAACAAATTATAACTTTATAAAGCTTAAAGTATGAATTAAAATGATTAGAAATATTAGGAACGGTACACAATATAAAACTTAGTAACTTTTTTTAAGTTTATAATATTCGACATATTTTAAGATTATATTAAAAAATTATTGAAATATCGAAAACACATAAAAACATGGCTTAAAAAAGTTCTAACAAATGAAAATGACAATAAAACATCCACGCATTTTATCGAAAGTTATAAAAGTTTTGTTACTTGTAATATGTTTTATCTGCCCCCTGGAATTAATGTTTAGAACCTTGTTCCCAAGGTTTGAAAAACATCCGATTGTTGTCTATTACTCGTATTTACCTGCTGGATTTTTTAATCCGGTGGACAGTCCATCTAGAAAGGCCCTCCTGGATGAAGTTACAGAATCATCAACCCATACTTTACTTGTAGTGTGTCCTGCGTTTACCCACGTTTCATCAAGGTAATAAATCTTCCTGTTTTGATTTCTATATTTCCCAATTTTTGTTAAATAATCCCTCCTCCATAGCACAATTTCTTCTCTATCCAGTAGTAAACTATTACGACCCCGTTTTTTCCATTTGAAATTTAAATGCTTCAGTAACGCATGGAAAGTTGACCGTTTGAAATTTGGCAACGTTGTATCTCCATTTACCTCCTACAGTACTTTATCTATAGTAGGTATTTCATTCTTAAAGAAGAATTCATGCACTTTCCTCCTAATCGCATGCTTATCAGCTTCATCCAATGATTTAACAATACTTTTGCGATGTTTACTGGTCATTGGCTCAGAAAAGGTGTGATTTTTTTTGTATTGTCTTAACACATTAAACACTGATGCGCGACACACCCCAACTTTGTGAGAAACCTTCACAACAATTTCTTTGAAGGTTGATGCCTCGTTCTCCTCGCGCTCGATCTTATATATATTCAAAATGACCTCTTTCATTTCTGCACTCAGGTGTCTTTTTTTAGAGCGTTTCCTAGGTGGACTACAGGAGTTTACAACTTCATCGGCAGTATCTGTACTACTGGGCATTTTGCGCAAGCAGTTGATAACAATAACAATCAATAACAAGGTATAACAATAACAACGACAAACTCAACAACTTAATAAGATAACAAACGAAAACGTCCAAAGAAATATCAAATTGCAATGATGCACACGACATACGTAACACGTCTGAACCTGAATGTGACTCTGCCTTGATACGACTGCTCTGCCGCTCGGCATAGGCATTTAATTGCGAATTGACCAATGAGGGCTCCTGTTTTACGTCGAGACGGCGGCGTTAGCGTGAAAATCACCCGAACCTTTTGTTTACATCCGGTCTATCTCTTATCTGAATATACTGTAGAACTAGAGCTATGTCGCTGAATTCAAATATATTACGCTTGGTGTGCTAGGTACCCCCACAAAAACAAGGATTGCGAAATTATTTTTAAGTTCGTCTCAGCGCAGTTTATATACGATTAGTCACTGCACTGATCATAACTTTACAAAGTGACCAGTAATTTCCAACTAACCGTCGTTTTATGACCCATTACTTATCGGAATGTATTTTGCCCCACTCTCCCCTATGCAAGCGCTTCGCCGTTTCACCTTTTGGTTTGGGCGATGACATCACGCACTTAATTATAATAATGACCATGCGTTGTTGTGGTACGGTGAATTCCTAAAAATAAACACCTAATTTATAATTGAAGCTGATTTCATCTTATTTTCGGCCAAATATTTTATGTAACGATTTAGATAAATAGCCTTCCTTGAGGTCTAGACAATCGATGTCACAATGTAAACATATTGATTCAAAAATGTTTGCCGATGCTAGGAATAGATAGATAGGTAGAATAGGAAGCTATCTAATTGAATGTGTCGCCAAAAACCGTGCATATATTTCATTTAAATATGACAAAAGTACATCCACATATTTTTTGAACACAAGTGACAGGTGAAGGTTGCAACATGTGTTTGAAATATTTCGTGTGCTTACGTATCTTTGACTGATGTAGACGATTATTTTCTTTAATGGATTATTTCATATTTTATCGTCTACATGTTCCAATAGATCCTTTCCAAAAGAAGAAAATTAATACAACATAATAATAATGTTCATTAGTCTAGCTACAAACTTTTCAAATAAATAACGGTGGTGTCCAATAAACATAAGATACCCAGGAAGTGTACGCTTATGCTTGGGTTTTAACCGAACTTTTTTTTATTATATGAATACAACAAATTTCCTATAAGTATACTAGTCAAATGTATAAATTTCAAATAACATGATATATAATGTATAAATATTTTTCTCTTAAAAAACTGCCGAAATTTCGATTTTCTTATTAAATGTTCAACGTTTATATTCCATCTTAGATGGTTGTCTATGAATACCCCTAAATATTAGAAATTATCAACTGATTGTGTTTTTGCAGCTATTCAACGTTTTAATTTGGAGTTGATTAAAATTTGAGGCAGATCTGTAGTCGCTAAATATGTTTTGTTGAAGATGACTGTTAAAATCCTTTCCGTGAAA